CAGTTCTACCTTATGTCGTTATTACGCGCAGTTAAGACTTAAGTATGGCATTATAAAGCGTATGATTATCCCTGAGACAGATATATAAGCGATCATCGGCCCATCGGCCGTCGTTACGATTCGACGTACTCAATTAGGTCGGAGGACTCAATCATTATTTGCACCGAAATACGAGGCACGTAACATTTAATTAAGCACTCGCGCCGACCAATGTTACCGTAACAGTTTCCTTTTCACAGAAGCCATTATTGCAAAAATATACGAGAGAGGACGGTCTCTCTGCCGCGAGTAAAGAGGCGGATCCCGCTCGCGATTTCTTTGGACGCTTCGTGTCCGTAAACCCTAACGTGCCAAATTAAATAAATACGCCGCGGCGTATCTTCGCGTTTTAATCCACCCGGTTTATTGCTCGTAAATTCTGAATAAATGGAATTACTCTCTTACTCGTTGCGCGAATCAACCGCAGATCTCCATAATGTTGCGATAAATATCGCTGCCACGATTACTTTGCCTTCCTTCTCGCAATTTCACAAGAACATTTTCATGTTTTGCAAAAAAGGCGAAACGAAGGCTTGAAACGGGAGAGTGACATTTGTTTGAACTGGAGCAGCAGTTTGTAATTTCCTTTTATATAGAACAGCAATTCTGCACAATGCATAGAAAATTGAAAACAGAGAAGAAGAAGATGTATCATTCTTAAGTTATACATAAAACAATAATTTTGTTATTCTGAAAATTATTTTTAAATTATAAAATAATTGATTATTTTTGATGTGTGTTTGCCGATATCATTTTAATTACTATAATATCTTTTAATATTTATAATGTATATATTAGTTGCATTTTGCTCCCTTTGAATTATAGGTATATTTTAGCTTTAAAAATATTAATATAATTAATTTTTCTCTTACTTCATGTTTAATAGTTTATTTTACATTGAAATTTTTTGGCCTGAAGAAAAAGCAGAAATTTAATCGGCTTCTTCCAGTTCGTGATGTGCAAATTCATAGATGGGATATATAGCAAAATGGCACCGTCGTTAATTGATAAAGATCCTGTGCTGTGGACAGAATTCGAACTCAATATAATGAAATCGGCATGTTTAGCAGGTCATCGAGCGTGTTTAATAACAGCTCTCAATTTTACTGTCCAGATGCTACGAAACGAATCAGACTCGTAAGTAGCGCTGTAACTGCTACAAATATTGATCGTATATTTAATGTTGAAATGTAACTACTAGTTATTTCTTTTTTATTTATTTATTATCGACGCGATGTGTATATTAAATGAAAATCAGTATTCGCAGTTAATATGAATATGTTTAACGAAAATATAATAACGAAAATATGTTTTAACAATAAACACTATTATGATAAAAAAATATCACCGTTTAAACTAGTGTTCCAGAGAAATTTCGTAGCTGGACGTACTGTACATTTATGAAAGCTGCCACGGACGAACAATGGTTAGCATTCTTGAAAAGGTACAACAAATCATCAATGATGTACGAAATGAAAAGCCTCGCTTTTGCATTAGGATGTCACGTTAATTCAAGTCTGTTAAAAAGGTAAATTATATAAAAGATAAGTATATAAAAATAAAAATTATTTACACACCCGAATCCTTCATATAATATTTAAAAAGCATCAAGAATACTTCAGTTGCTTTCAATTAGAAATATTTCATTTCTTATATGTCATACTATTTTATTATTTAGAAACAGATTTGTGTAATTAATCCTTGGTTACTTTTACATAAAATCATTTTAATCTTATTATAAAATAAGAGAATTTATGTATATAGTTTTAAACATATATATTTTAAATAAAAAATAAATATTTTCTTAACTATAAAAGATAATATGTACATATATTAATATACCATTCTTGCGAATCAAAAATTATGTTAATATAATGAATGCTTTCAGATATCTGCCTGTGATATTTTCACAAAAGAATACGCCTAAACTTGCAGAAGAAATTCTAACATCCGTTGCGTTAAATCCACATGGATATCACGTTGCAATAGAGTTCCTAATTCAACATTGGGATAAATTTAATATGAATAAAACAGAAGAACATATTTAGTAAGTGAAATAAATTTACGCGTAATGACAAGTGTCAGCTGTTTCAAATTTTTCTCGAAAAACCAACGATTGAAAATTTTATTTAAAAATATTGCGTGATTTTTCTGTACATTTTATATTCATACATATTCCAATTCCTTAATACGATATTTTCATACCTTACTTCCAGCGCGAATGTTACTCTGATCAATATGTTGCGTGCCTTCAAAAACCATATTCGTCAAGAAGAGGACGTGGAATGGGTAAGAAAATTGCACGAATGGTGAAACTTAATGAGGATCGGAAAGTGAACGAAGTAGCGTTCCTCAAAAACCGATATGCATATCTCACGGGTATAAAAAGTGTCGAATTATTATATAACCATCACGCTCTTTCTTTCCCAGCTAAGACGACTAAGAGGAAAGAGCGAGAAATACGACACCGTGATCGGACAGGTTATTAATAGAGCCCGGACCAATGTCGCGTGGTATAAGAAAGAAAAAAATGAGGTAACGGGTCTCTGATTATTCAGAAAGTGAAACGAAGTTCCGCACCTGACAGCCAAACTTCACTCGGTTCAAAAATCTTCTCGGTTTATTTTTCATTTGTGCTGTTTCATCAGCCAATCGGCTTATTATGACGATTGTTACTTAATGGCATTTAATGAATTCTGATGTATTTACCACCTATCGTAATTTACATGACAAAGTAAGAAAGTATACACATGATCAAACGAATCCTTTCATAGCTGTTTATGTGTTGTCAGTTTTAAAAGGAACGAGAAAGTTTGCCTGCAAAGTGCTAACATTTGATTCTTGAATACATATATTCTTTTGCAGATGTTGCAGATACTGAAGGAAATTTCTACGAGATACTCCGAAACGAGAAATTGCAGGAAACGGAATTAACTGTGTTGAAGATCCATGCAAACCCTCAGTGCCAGCTATTAGTAGATTACAAAAAATCAATAAAATAATCACAAATAATTGATAGAACACGTGAATACCGAGATATAATTTTCCATAAAAAACCGCGTTTTCACTTCCGCATTAATGAAACTATTTTTCATCAGTGGTGAAAATAATATAAAATAAAGAATGTTTATTTTTTTATAAGATCATGAAATGTAGATAGCTTCTACACAGAATTGTGTGCTAATTTTTTTTCTCGAAACACGAAAAGATAGTAGAAGAAATATTCTAGGATCCAAAGGATGATTGATCTTTGTCGTCTTTTTTTCACGTGTTCGAAATCATCCCTCGAGCATCGAAGGTAGTGAAAATAATTCATCAATTCGTACGAAATAATCAGTTGCAGGATTATTGATTCCGCATCGCGGACGTGTGCAGATAAATTCGGGATATCGTCAGCATCCCCCGAGGATTGTTACTTGAGAAGTTCTTGCCGCGGGAAGCGCCGGCGGAACCCTGCTCCTAATCGGGCAGTAACGAGCCGGGCTTTCGTGTGGTCGGAGAATGTTGCTAAGTAAGGGATTGATTCACGAGCAGTTATAATACCGCCAAACCGAAGGCCCTAATAGATTCAGGTCAATGCCACTACCGTTCTCCGAAGTCGTTTATTATGTGGGAAGAGCGGACCCCGTTCTTATGCCACACAGGTCGCCGGTAACCTGTGTGTGCAACGCAGCAGCGGTAGGATTCGCCAGGAACGCCGAAGTCGAAGGACCCATCGAGAGAACCTCTCTCTATCCACACGAGGGGATTCTGCCTCCGCGCGGTGTCTTCTTTTTTATTTTCACGTGCGCCTCTCCCGATGTGGTTCATTGGACAAAAATGAAATGAAACACGATTCGATTCACCTTTTCCTCTTCATCTTTGTATTTTTTTTTTCTATATTGATCACGTTGTACGATTAGAAGGAAACATACTATACTGAAATTGAATAAAAATTCTGTTGTACTTGAAATTAAATATTTTTTTATTATTATATAATAAATAATTAATTTAAACAGATTTCTGGGAAGGTTTCTTACACAATATAATATGCTTAAATTTGTGTGTAGAAAATAAAACTGTTAATAGTAATATGTATCTTTTTTTGCCGATTGAAATTGCAAAGTTTGTGGAGGGAAGTTGATTGGTAACTTTCTCACGCCTGAATGGTTACCCTTTGAAAAAAAAATCTCACGCCAAGTTATTTTGACCAGCATAGTTACACGAGTGGCGTTTAAGTTCATTTTTGAAGAATGTTTCTAGTATAAGTCACGTATTGGTTTCTGAATTAATATATATGTATACCTATACCCGTATTCACACGTATGTGGGCACGAACGAAAATATGGAAGTTACTTTTGCACATGTGTAAAATATAAAATAGAAATACAAAATTAGCATTGAATTATAATTTATATTACATTAATTCTTAGATCTTTTAATGAATAAATAAATTTCTCGAAATAAATTCCTTCACAAACGTTTATTGTGAAATAATAAATAAAAAAATGATTTAAATAAAAAAAAATATTGTACAATTTTACTAAAATAATGAAAGACTCTCGAGAGGGAGTTTTGCTTCACGGTTTATGGTTAGAAGAAAGGAGCACAGTTAGAGAAGATTAAAGAAAGAATTCTCTTCTCTCCCTCGTAAGGAGGGGTCAAAGAGCGCTACCGTGTCCTCAAACGCGACGGGAACGTGCAAAAGGAAGAAAGGAAAGAATAGGAAGGAAGCTCTCCTCCCGTCGTCGGTTCGGCGAACGCGCTTCTCGCGCGTGTACTCCTTGCTTGCGCGCGCGAGCCCCAGGACCCTTCCTGAAGTTAATGATTCGGTCATTGCGATGGGTGGCGGTTGCACTGGAGAGTGGTGGAAACCAAGTGGTGTGGGTCCGGAGTGTGTAGAGTAGGAGAAGAGTGCGCCAGGAGGGCGAAAGAGCAAGGAGAGAAGGAGGATCGGCCTGCACAGGAAAGTAAGCCCGATCCCAGTTCGAACGCTTCGGCTCGGTCTTACGGGTTTAGTCTTGAACGGCGGATTGTTGCCGTGGCTGTGTGATCCACCGGGGACCCCAGAGATAGATCCCACGCCAACGCAGTCCTTATCAATTGGCGAGCGAATTGCCTGACCGTGATCTGGCGTCATGCACCACTACTACCGGCCGTGTCTCCTCTAGTAAGGACGACCACGAGGACGTTTGGGGTGAAAACGAGAAGCGCCCCAATTCGAAGGGAGATCCTTGGCGCTTATTTCCCGCGGGCTGACATCCGCGTGATAGGGTTCACGGTCGAGAGCACGTCGCTCCCGGGAAACCAGCTTGCGATCAGATGCCGCACGCCGGCAATCCAACGTCAGCTGTAGCCGCGAAGAGAAGGCGGAGGCTGCAACCGGTCACCCTTCAAAGTACGTATGGGGTTGTGGAGGTGTAATGAATAAGAGATACGGGTATCCGCGGCGATATTCAAATATCAAGAGAGAATCAGAATGAAAGTGTCAGTCGGTTTGTACACTGTTTGTCTATGATGTACTATTTGTCTATAATTTTAGCATTGACATATTTTTTATGTGTTAATTTAACTTACATGATACTGTTATAATTCTATTAAAGAAAAGTCCACAAAAAGTCTACGGATTAAATCGTTTAGAGACTAAAATTATTCTTGATTAAGAAACCAATGCAACCGCACCGTTGACATTTCTATCTTAAACGTGGTTGTACATAATTTGCATATTTCACGTTTTTTGATCAATGTTTTTATGACATCTTTTTTATATCAGAAACTTTCAATTTTAATGAAATTAATGATAATCCTTAAGAGTCGCCAGTAATAAATAATGAAAATCTCTCCTCCAATTTTAAAGTCGACCAGACTGGCAATAATTTATTTAAAAAATTAGTTAAATTACAACGTTTCGGCTGTCATTGCAGCCCTTTTCAAGTAATCTATGAACAATTACAGGGTTTGTCCGGAAAGTAATGCGTCGCATTTTTTTAAAAAAGAATTTATTGATCGCATAGGTAAAACAACTTAAAATTGTTCGAAGTATGACCCTTCTGCGTCAATACATTTTTGCCAACGCGATTTCCATGCGTCATAAGATTTCTGGAACTCCTTGACTGGGATGCTGTTCAGGGAGGCCGTCGAAGTAGCTTGTACGTTGTCAACCGACTCGAGCTGTTGTCCTTTGAGCTCCCTTTTCAGCCGAGGAAATAAAAAAAAGTCCGCCGGGGCCAAGTCGGGACTGTAGGGCGGCTGCGGCACCGTTGCCACACCGATCCGGGTCAGGTAGGCCGTAATAACAAAGGCGGTGTGAGCCGGCGCGTTGTCGTGATGGAGTTTCCATGAAGCGCGGATCTCCTTTCGGACGCGGGCGATCCTGTGATTCAGTCTCTGAAGCACTTCCTTGTAAAATTGAGCGTTGACAGTCTGGCCGGGGGGTACGAATTCATGGTGCACTATCCCCTTTGCATCAAAAAAAACAATGAGCATTGACTTCACCCGGGACTTGCTCATGCGAGCCTTCTTCTGGCGCGGCGACGACGTCGTGTGCCATTCCGCACTCTGCCTCTTTGACTCCGGATCGTACTGAAAGACCCATGACTCATCCCCAGTGATAACGTTGTTCAGGAAATTGGGATTATCTGCACAGAGTTGCTTGAGTTCTTCACGCAAAACTTTATCGCATAGCGTTGCTCTATCGTTCTCTCCATCACAAGTTCGACGCGACCACTAAGCAGAGGTTCACAGAATAAGCCGTCCTAACCCTCCAAGCGCATGGAAACAATTGAGCGACCTACCGTTGGAAAGCTAAGGGTACCCCCCTTCCTCCCCAACCGGTCCCATCGCTCTGCGATGTATAGTCGCGTCACAAAAAAATGCGACGCATTACTTTCCGGACAAACCCTGTATATACATATAAATATACTCTTAATGCGCTTAATCATACAAATAATTATAAATTTACAAAAATATATATGTTTACGTACCAGATTAATACAATAAATCAAATTTACAGCAAACCCCCGACAAAATTAACCATTGTTTTGATGAACAATGTATAACTGACAGAAGTGAGCACGAAAAAATAGATGTTGACTGTTAGCAGAAAACTTAGTCACTAACGCGTTGAGAAAATAGAAAACCAGAGTACTGTACGTGTCTTTCGCAATTTTTAAAACGTCAATACAAAGTCAAATAAATAAATAAATAAATATGTAACATATGACAATATAATATATTAAATAGCTTCAAGAACGCGATCATAAATCCCACTGAAATTCTCCGTATCTTTTTGTAAATTAATGCTCTTTCTTTGGTTTTTTATATAGAACATTTCTGCTATTTCTCTTTTTCTGGAAAAGGGCTGCAATGACAGCCGAAACGTTGTAATTTAACTAATTTTTTAAATAAATTATTGCCAGTCTGGTCGACTTTAAAATTGGAGGAGAGATTTTCTTTAATGAAATTATCATTTAATTAATGATCATATATCAATTAATTAATAATAAATTTTATTTTAATAATACATAGTCACATTTTAATTTTAACTCTTTATTGCAATCTTGGAAATAATTTATTTAAAGAAGAAAATAAAAGTCATCTAAACAATTTTGCGTAATCTCTCTTTTTCTTTTTAGTGTATATATATATATATATATATATATATATATATATATATATGAAATAAGACATTTCACGTATTCAAGTGAAAAAGCTAAAGTGGATTGACGAGAACCACTTACAGACTCCGGTCTTGCCAAAGTACCGTTTTAACTCAAAGCTTCCCAGAGCAGCATTCAAACCCTTGAAGTATTTCTTTATTACTGAAAATCAAAGATTAATGATCAAAGTAAATTACAGAGATCAAAGCTGTCATCAAACATTTCAAGAATTAATCAAACTGTCAGATTAATTTAAAATTTGTCAAGGAATTTCCTTGAAATATTCAATGTTGCAATAAATTTAAAGTTTTACAGTGATCTAGCAAGAGAGATTAGATAAGATTAAATAAGTATTTTTTGTAATTATTTTGCAAAACTTCAAGCTTATTGCATTTAAATATGCATATAAAAATTTTTTAATATAAACACATTGAATGTAAAGAGCGAATGTATAGAAATATAATTGATATAATTAGATACAAACATTTTTTAAATCAATAACAGTAAGTCTTTTTCATAATGTTTTGAAGTGATGTAAAAAAAATGAGAAAAGAGAGAGAATATCATATAATTAATTTCTTAAATTAGTAGCACGTTTACCATGCTAGCGTATAATATTTGCAAAGCTGCAAGGCTAATATCTCGAGGGGTATCGGTGATGCGCGCATTCCGAAACGCATAGCGTACTTTCCCGCGAAATACATTGAGATAAGCGTAATGAGCGAGAAGAACGCTGAGACAGAAATTATTGGTAAGATTAGAGATGTGGAATAAATCCAACTGGTATTAAGGAGAGAATAAATTCATGAGTCATAAGTTTCCATTCCAATCGTTCGTACAAGATAAACTAACTAAAATAATAATCATGAAGGAAGAATTATATAGACAGCAAAAAATAAAAATTAATTAGTTTATCAAAATCAGCAAGATGTTGCATGTCGATTTAATAATTGCTCAATTATATTGAACTGCTTTTTCACAAATTCTTCAAGTTTAATCTAAACAAAGAGCTGTGAAAATACAAGTAGGCAGACCACCCTGTTACTCATTATCGTCTAACAACTTTACTGTCGAATATGTCAATTTAATTTTCAGTTCAAAAAATATATCAAATATATTAATTGATTTTATAATGTATATAATTCAAATATATTAATTTAATTTTTAATAGCGAAAAATTAGCGTTAGAACAATCTTGTTTTACAATATTAATTTTTGCAGTCAGAAATATATTAATAAACTTTTTTCTTCTCGAGCAAAAATTGACAGCAATATTATACTTTTTCAACAAGTAGTATTATAATGTTAATAATCAATGAGGGAATATATTTGCACATTAGAACGAAGCGTGAGTGCTTGAACACTTTCGAAAGGTCTGCGTTAATTATCCGGCCAAAGTCGGATCATTAAACGCGCGAATTGACAGCCGGCAAAAAATTAAGGGGTCGTCATGTTTCCGTGACGTTCGATTGTCGCTAATAACCAGCGACTCTTTCTCGGCCATTCTCTCAGAATAAGTACGTCCTTCTCAGAGAGAAAGCATTAAAGTCACCGACAAACGCGGTTCTCTTTGACGACTGATGTCGTAACACAAATCGATCGTGTATTCATTTTAGTTGGTGTTAATTATAGGCAAATTTGGAAAATTGAGAAAATAATATAATTGTTATAAATATATAACAATTTTATTAATCTCTAAATAGACTTTATAAGTACATATACAAAAAAAATGAAACATGTGATGAAACTTATAATTATAACAAAAAGTACAAGTTTTAATTTTCTTAATATAATATGACGATTATATAATAATATTATGATAATTTAATAAAAACATTACAATATGTGATATAATAAAAGGCCAACTTAACGAGCTTATATGCTATTAATTGAAAAATTTATTTATTAATTTACGTCATACTATACAAAAGTTAAGATAAACGTTTCGACTGTACGACAGTCTTTTTCAATATCCTAATAATATGTTAAAAAATTAATTTAGTCATATCGACCTTATTATAAATACAACAATTATGAGATTATATGACGAACGCAGTACAAAATTCATGTTTGTTGGCATGAGTTAGAGCGTCAGATGCTGTTATATTATGTAACGACATTTTTTGTCACGAACATAACACTTTTTTTAAAAAAATTATTTCTTTTTACTTAACATAATCACAATGTGTACTTTTTTAAAAAACAAAGTTGTTTGTCAGACAGATATCGATTTGTTTTTTAAAAAAGTACACATTGTGATTATGTTAAGTAAAAAGAAATAATTTTTTTAAAAAAAGTGTTATGTTCGTGACAAAAAATGTCGTTACATAATATAACAGCATCTGACGCTCTAACTCATGCCAACAAACATGAATTTTGTACTGCGTTCGTCATATAATCTCATAATTGTTGTATTTATAATAAGGTCGATATGACTAAATTAATTTTTTAACATATTATTAGGATATTGAAAAAGACTGTCGTACAGTCGAAACGTTTATCTTAACTTTTGTATAGTATGACGTAAATTAATAAATAAATTTTTCAATTAATAGCATATAAGCTCGTTAAGTTGGCCTTTTATTATATCACATATTTTAATTGTATACGAGCCGAAGTTTAATTTATAAAAAACATTACAAATGAACAATTATAATGAATATTATTATTATATAGTTTGAAATGATCATTAATTATTTAATAACATCGGAAACTCTCATTTCTATCTCTTTTCTCATTAATGATATTCGCGCAAGAAAATTGACTCGCAAATCTTATTTCTTACTTGCTTTCCCGTTTATTCATACGGACATGATCGATCGCGATCGTCGCCGATGTCCATGCATCTTTCACGTGGTTCTCTCTCGCGTGGTCTCTCCGTCGTATCATTCCGGTCTCTGCATTTACGTGAACGGCGAAAAAGCGGACGCGATCGCCTTCTACCTTCTTGTCGACAAGTCCCAATTGGAATTCCGCAGAAGCGCGTGGGATCGACGCAGGTAGCGCATATCCTGCGATCGCGATCGCGATCGAACGAACTGGCGAACGAGTACGCGACCGTACGAATCGTATACTTTTGTGCTAAAAGGGAGAAACAATCTCACAGAATGATGGTAGCTCTTTCTTCTGATGCGCTGCGAATGAGAGGAAAAATAAATTCCTAAGATGAGCTAAATGACGCTTGGTGTTAATTTAACGAATATATAAATATACATTATCGCGCTTCTTCAGAACTACCGTCGTGGGAGTAGTACCGATAGCAAACAGAAATGCGAACATGTTGAGAAAGTGCAAAGTGCCATCGATAAACAAACACTGTGCACTGGTAATTAAATAAAAAGTGAAAATTATGCAAAAGGGTTAAATTTCCGAATATGTTTTCCAGAAAGAGATAGAGAGAGAGAGAGAGAGAAAAGATTAAAATTGTTATATTAATATTCTGTAAAGTTATATTGATTAAATCTTGTTACATAATTATTTCTTTTTTTATTCAAATTCTCTCTTAATATTTTAAAACACATCTTTAACATTTATCTTCTTTGTTTCTATTTTTTGTTTTTAAATAGATTATTAATTTCTTCTATTTCTATTTTCTATTTAAAAATTTTTTAAATTAAATTATTAGATAATATTAGTATCAGCTGTTTATTTGGGAAGTTTGCGCAATAAGAAATTGAATAATGTTATACAGAGAAAAGGGAGAGAGAAATTTGAACACAGATCGCACGTATGCATATGTGGATGCTGATAAATGATTTAAATTATAACTCGGTATATATCTTGATTTTAAAGCTGCATGTACTTACGTATCACAAACCAAAAAATATATGCTCAAATCAATGGATGCTGGACAGTTAATAATACGATGTCTGCGCAGAATGGTGGCTGTGGTGGTTACTGCTACCAGGATGTTTGGCATCGTGGACGCGATACATCGAGGAGTACGACTCTATTAGAGTGGCCAGATGCGATGCTCGATGCGGGGAGAATTATCCCGACGAGGTATGTATGAAGGCACGTGTGTTGTGCAAATAAGATTATCTCATTATCATATCAATATCCGCAATATATTAATACTGACAATATATTGTTCCTGTAACAATATAATGTTTCTTAAAAAATAGCACTGTTCTTTTCTATATAATATCTATAAATTCCAATTTATGAAATATAAATTTGAATTAATATAAAATGTGATTAATAAGCATCGCATAAGAAGACATTGTCAAAACACATAATATCTGAAGGGATTAAGGGTACAATGTTAGCACCGCAGCGGACAACTATTATCCCTCGACAAGCTCGATCGTTGTTGGCGTTTATGGCATCGATCCGCGCGTCGCAATCAGGCGAAATAATCGGTTCGATTAATCAACGCGCTACACGCCGCTGTCCGAGTGAAGATCGATTTTAATTTCGATGGCCGATTCGACACTCGATAGCGACGCTAAATAAACTGGTTTCCCGCAACGCTTTGTCGCCTCCCGAAAGAGTCGCTCAGACGCGCTCTCGTCGATGATTCATCCGGGGCTTGTCCAGGTTTTGCGGGTTCTCTCGCTCGCGTGTAATTAGTTATGCGAATCCCGAGCGTCCCTGAGTCCGCGCCCACTTGAATCATCGTCACGCTCGACGATTTATGAGGCACGCCGGTGCCATCGGCCGTGAGACTTCACTCGGACGATGCTAATTCGGCAGTCAACAACGGTGGATCAATATACCGTATTTGGGCCATCTTGAGCCAGAAGAAAACTGGCGCTTCCTCCCCAAAAAGAAAATGAACGTTTTTAGATTTTTATTAGACTATAACTTGCTCCTCGAGATCTGCTAGAAAATAGATACATCTTGATATTATCTTCATATATTGTAAGAAACATTTTAATTGGCATCGAGTTGTACGATAATGATTCGATATGAAAGAGTAGGAGCGACGACACTCGTTGACTTACTGCTAACTCATCAGCGGTCTCTCGTCGCGCATTATTGCTAGTATTTTTCGCCGGTATGTATGCACACGTTATTACGGCCCCGAAATGATTCCGGAGAGCCGTCGATGGGGCCAGGGTGGACGAGGAGAAATGACGAAGAGATAGCCCCCGAGCTCCGACTAGCGGCCGGCAATAAAGTCCCGAAGTAATGGCCTATAAAAAGGTTGCGCGCGCGAGCAACGCACTAAGTCCGGATGCGCGCACTAGAAACGTATCTTCCGACATTATCGAAAACAGGTTCTTATCCCGAAGCACTGACAATCAATCTTACCAATGGCATTCGACTGTGCCGTGCGTATCCGCGGCGCGCTTTGAGAATTTCGCGAGCGACGAACGAGACTCTTCGTCTTTTCCTAACTTCGTTTCTCCATGCCTTCTCGATCCCGATCGTCCTTGACGCTGAAATTAATTCCTTTCGATCGACACCGGATTGGATGCCTGCTGCAAATACATAGTGAAGTTAATGAAATTTATTATAAAAGAGATTGTGGAATATATATAAAAATGAAATAATTCATAAAATTTGTTGTAGAGATATGATGACTTATTCGTATGAGAAAGTAACTCGCGAATTATTACCTCTCTCTTCTTGTGTTAAATCTTCACCTTTTCCTCGATTCAATCTAATATGTAATTATTGATCCAACGATAGATAGTATAGACTATATTGGTAACTTTAATTTCCTTAGTGAAAGTAAAGAGCAGCATTCAATGTGCCAATTTGATAGAGTAACTATTACTTTTCCAATTATTTTCAGAATAAAATTTCAAGTGAACAGTTTCTGTTTTAAGACTAATATTTTGTGATTTAATTTAAAATTTTATAATTTTGTTTTTCACTCGTATTAATCTGCAATGTCACTTCCGTCATCCTTCATTTATTGGTATATGTTTTCGCGTCATTTGATGTGCGAAGTATATTATTAAACATCCATCGTCATTCTCTAGTCGAATACATTCTATCAGATTAATCACGCATTTTTATCTTTTACGCGATCTATGTTATGTAATCTTCCGCATTCTTTTAATAGCGCTCGCTGTTACTATAATTAGCTGACGTAATAGTGGCCGTTGAACTTTGTTAGGAAATTAAGAATGTTAAGATTGGTAAATATAAATTCCACGATATCAATCACACGGCATCTTATCGAATATTAATTTTAATTTAATTCCTCAACAATATAAAAAAGTGAAAAAACATAATTAGCACACACTATAATTAACTTTGTTAGCGCGACCGTCAAAGTGGAATTCTGCTGCTAACTTTCTGCATTCATGTTATAAGAATATTTAAAAACTTTTCAAGGAGAGAAAGAGAGAGAGAGAGAGAGAGAGGGTGGAGAAGGGAAGATCGCTTGCTGTTATTACAATTAACTTCATTAGCGTAACTGTCATTGCGAAACTTCATTTTGGAAGTAACGTTTAATAAGCGAACATGAATTCCTCGGTATCTCAATGCGGCGGCGTCCTTTAGAATGTTGATGAAAAAAGATAAACCCTCACTGTTATAACAATCGACTTCGTTAGCGCGTTCGTTATATCGCGGAGAACTTCACCGTTCGCCGATCAAATGCAAGTCCCGCACGCGGCGCCCTTTCGATTGTTAATTATCGGTGTCGTCGCGGAGGAGAGAATAAGTGGGAAGAAGCAAAGTGTGCGAGAGAAGGAGGAAGATGAAGCGAGAAGAAAACGACATTGGCGTTTCGCCAATGGGCAATATAATTTTCTTAACGACGGCGATCGGCGGCCGGCCAATTCTCGCGATGAACTTCGATCGAAGGCCGCCTCGACCATACCGATTTTAATGAATACTTCAAACCGCGAAGTCTTTAATTGGGGTAGTCTACCGATGTTCGAGGGAGAGAGAGAGAGAGAGAGAAGAAAGGGAGAAAGAAAGAAAGAAAAATATAAGAAAGAGAGCAACGATCGGCTTGCATGATTTTTCAGTATTGCCGATCGACACTATCGCCGATCTTCGCAGGCGGACTACATTAGTCTCCTGCCATACCCTAATCTTCGCGATCACCTTCACGACGGCCGCGCACTTCGATCTTCGCGAAGAAGCTTTCGACTGGAACAGATCGGCCCTTGCGCGCCTTCGGCGCGATCGACGTGGAGGGTGAGAAAGGGAAGAGCCCGAGATCTGGTGAACTTCATTAGCCTCCTTGTATACTTTGATCCGCGCGATCGCTTCGAATATCACTCGATGATCTCGGCGTGCATCGGCACTGAAGTTAATTCTTCGACCGTGACGACGCTTCATCAGATCGCGCTCTTCCCTCTCACTTCGCTTGCTCTTTTCACCCTTTTATGTCCTGGAGGCGAAACAGTCTATCGTCCACTTATTTCTTTTGATATGCGTATCGAAAAAACGCAGTAGAGAAAATCGCGACTAGACACCTTAATTTTTTTAGGCTGTAATTTGTATTTATAAATTGGAATTTTTTGTGTCTAAAAATTATTTTGACAATACTTGCTTTTTTTCCACAAGATTTATTTATTATATATTAATTTTAATTTTCAATTCTTTAATATTCAAACAATTTGTACAAATGTAAACGGGCAGAAATATCTATTTAAAAATGCTTATAATAAATATCCGTTGTAATTAAAAAAAGATAATAAAGAGACGTTAATGATATAAAATATATTTGAAAATAATCTGTGCATTTAGGTTTTATTAATTAACAGATTTATGTTGTTCAGATTACAGTTAAAGTATTAAGACACAAAGTTAAATTACATACTTCTGCATATTAATTATGTGATATGATGGAATAATTCTTGCAAAATAACTAATGTCCTATTTTGTAATAATATCAGTGGTATTTATTGCGTTGCAGCTTGCATAATAATTCTGCTTCTTTGTTGCCCTTTATGTTAACTGATATCATCGAATCGCATACAAACTTACTTCACTCTGGAGAATAGAATTTCTGCCAATGATAAATAGAACTTTCAAGATAAATTTTCTTTCAGTATTACAGCATATTTATAGAGATCTGTGATATATAGACATCTATGATAATTCTAAGATATTGATTTATTTTATAACTTTACATATCCTTTATTTATAATTTCACATGTAACAATTTACACTCTTACTTATAAAATAATTTATAAAAAACACCGAAATCTCGAAGAAATGAATAACAATATATGTGAAAAATTATAAATTATTAAAAGATTAGAAGAAAACTTTAAAATTATAGTACATTTTTAATTGTAGGTATATGAAATATTTTTCTAATTTATTCTTATTCTTAAAATTATACCTTTCTTCTCTCCAAGCTATGCAGTGTAACGCAAGTTGATGATAAATAGCAATAAAGTCCAGAAATACTATTAAGATACTGAGATGCAATATTTCTGTTTGACTCGTAATAAATCTCGACCAATAATGAAATGCGGAAGCAGAGTTATTAATCGGTATGGCATGCATTTGCATTTTTACGGAAAGTGTAATCGAAAGATTGCTACATACGTCGTAAATGCATATAAGAATCGTGCATGATTCTGTCATCTAAAAATGATGTAAGATATTAATCTATTATTAAATTTATCTTGGAATTTTCTCTAGTATCTTATTTGATAGTTGATTCATAAATGACAAATAATGCATTAAATGGAATATATCATTCATATTTAAACAAAATGACATATTATATATCTATATCTTTAATCTATATATATATATATATATATATATATATCTTACTTTTTATATACTCACTCTAAAAACGCGATATACTTAAAATTTGGAAAAATCACAAAATTTCAAACAACTATAACTTCGTAAATAATAAAGATAGAAAAGTTTCTAAAAAATGAAAATAAAGATTGGAATCTCTACTTTAAGAGTCTATTTATTTCAATTTTGCGAGATAAATTTATTAAAATGGCGAATGAAAAATGAGAATACGCAAAATTTAAAAATAATGGTCCGAGTTTGCCAAAACACATGGTATGAGTCAATTGTTGCAACTTAATGGGATAAAAAGTATATGATAGTACAGAGTCTCTCCTTTAAAATGCTTTTTTATTCATTTTGATACGATTATTTTTCGCCGAGATATTCGTATTTGAATAAAAAGGCAGCTTTGTACTTTAAATGTGAATATCTCGGCGCAAAATTATCGTATTGAGATGAATAAAAAAGCATTTTAAAGGGGAGACTCTGTACTATCATATGCTTTTTATCCCATTGATTTGCAACATTTGACACATGCCATATACTTTGTCAAACTCGGACCATTATTTTTAAATTTTGCATATTCTCGTTTTGTCACCAGCCATTTTTAATAATTTATCTCGGGCTATTGAAATAAACAGATTCTTAAAGTGGAGATTCCATGCTTTATTTTTATTTTTTAGAAACCTCCCTATCATTATTATTTACGAAGTTATTGTGATTTGAAATTTGATGATTTTTTCCAAATTTTAAGTGTACCGCTTTTTTGGAGTGAATATTATATATCTAATCTTTTTAGATTTTTATTCTAGGATATAAAACTTTTCAAAGTACTGTCGACAATATTTAAAGAAAATGCTCTTCTTTTTTTTAATATAAAAATAGAAAAAAATGCGTATACCTTCAAAATAAAATTGCAAACATAATCTTGGATAGCGAACGCGATTTCGTGCGGATTTTTTGGCTCGGGGGAGTCTCTGAAAAAGAAAGAGTCTGTAATATAAGTGTAACACGATACGTGATGATTTTGTTAACAATGTCGATCTTGCAATGCTACCGACGAGATGCGATTCTCGAGAGAATCGGCGAACTTTATTTATCTGGTCAACGGCACCGCGGGCGAACACCGTCATCGATCAACGACGATCAGCCGCGGATCCTCGTTTCGCTCGACTCGACGTGCTCGCTTTCCTCTGTAAAAAGTAGGTTAATAAGTAAGCGAATCAGTTTCCCCGACTGTTATATGATATATGTCGTGGTAACAAGTATACCTTTCCGCTACAGGAATGTTTCTTCTGGGCCTCCTCCGAGAAGGGTCCTTGACCCGCCACTTTGTAAATCTCATCATGTCTATCCTTGGACAGGATTTAATTACGCAGTCTGATTTTTTGAATTTCTAGATTTTCTAATATCAACGTTCTAATATCTATGTTCTAATGTTTTAATATCTATATGTGTTATAATTAATTAATATAATAATTAATCATGAATATAAAACGGAACATTTCAAAAGAAAATAATAAAAAAAGAAAAAAGTTTTCCTTTTTTCTTTTTTTAAGTAATTACATAATTTTTGGCTTTAAATGGCACTGTTAAAATTTCAAATATTTTATGTTAATTTTTTGTTATTTTATTTTATTGAATTATTTATTATATTTTTTGTACGTGATGAGCACGTTTTTCTTCTTTCTTTTATTTCTTATCTGACATTAGCGCTAAGCAAATTATCATTGAATTTTAATCTTGCATATTAAATTTCAAGTTAATGTTTGAGGTATAATACAGACTATATTACGACTTATATGCCGCTTGCAGCTGATGTAATCATCTCTTTTAAACAGATTAATATTCGATATTTCCCTTTCATTTTTTCTTGTTACGCATACTCAAATACAACGAATAATCCTTAAAGCATAAACTCATAACGACGAACCATGTTGTGTCATTTGACAATATCATCCTTTTAATACATTTAAACATTACTTAGGCTATTTTCCGTTTGCGCGCGCGTGTAAATTATGACTTATAAATATAAAGAAGTTATTTGCACGGTATTATAAATCTTTCACACACTATTATATAGCGTTTATTGGAGTCTTATTCATTAGAATTTATTATTTGCTTATTTAGGTCAACAAACGTAATATGTGGTTTGCTTATAAGAAGTCATATAAAGTTAGCTTTTTTTATTGGTTGTGTAAAATTATCGTCAATAATTGATGACACGTTACAAAGTTCGATGACGTAAGGTGCATCCTAGTTAAATGTGTTCGCTGCAGTTGCAGCTAGAATAACGCGTTTTTCTGCATAGAGATATTCTTTATGGACCATCTACAGTCGCACGCGCACGTGTCACCTGTCACTTCACAACAGCTGATTATAAACCGACCAGCACGGGTCTGTGAAATGAAAACGTGTATATTGCTTTTCGATCGTAAAAAAACGACGATTCTTTCTTCGGCACAATCGACAAGTCTATTTAGAAACTATCAGAGTAACGATTTAAAAATTTGATGTATCGTACTTGCTTTATAACAAGATGTTGAAAGTTTGCCCTGAATCTCACGCTATTAAGCTTAACGACTCGTACTTTACGAACTTCATATTACGCTTGTAATCATGCATCTTACTGCGCCGTCGGCGCTTATCTTATATGTTGCATTTTTTCGATCGACTTGGTCGGATCGGCTCTCTCGCGTCTACATTGTACGAAAATAATGACGGGATAAAAACACGGCAAACGCGCGCTAATTCGAACGCGCATTAAGTTGAAATATATATGAATAGGCACCTTCGTCCTGACGATCAGGAATACGCCTCGGGGATCGTTTAAAGGACCCGGACTCGCATTTCGCATCAGAACGGAATCGAGGAGCGGCAGTTTCGTAACTATGTAGCGAGGACTGGCTTCCACGAAAATGGCAGGGAGCTCTCTCAATCGCGGCAGAACTCGATATCGGCGGCAATTTGTTGTATTTTTATTTTTTTCCGGCAATTGACCGTATCTTTTTCGGTATCGACGGGATTGGATCGGATCGCGGATGGAGCAGATCAGGAGTGTGCTCCGATTAAGATGGCATGCGGCGAAGTTCGAGCCGACCTTGATAAACCCGCCCGCGAAATGAGCGCTGAAGAAACAGCCTTACACGAACCATTGAACGAAATGACGGTACAAGTCTGGAAAAGTAAGATTTTTTTGGACTTATACCAGCTTTCGTTTTATAATCATTTTGCCAGGATAAAATTTTTAAATGCTTTCTCAAAGATTTTTTCTAATCGAGGAAATCTTAAAAGTCGTAATATTTTGTATCAAACATTTTTAATAGCATTTAATTTTACAATATGCAAGTTTTGTTTTAAATGTAACAGCAATAGATTTACAATTATTTAAATCCATATTGATTTCACTTCTTTTCCTGTTAAATCAATATAAAAATGTTAACAACTCTCGATTCAATGTAGCATTTATTATGTTAAAACTAGGAACTAGAAGCTCAAGCAGTAACTCCTTTTGCGTAAACGTTTTTGCATTGCACCATTGACATTGCATTCACGGTGAACACTTCCGGTGAAGATGACGATGAAAATATCGTCATGTTGCGCGGTGCAAAAACTGGATCACTTATCATTGCTATTCCAAGACAAACATGTCTAATTAATTAGATAAGCGTTTCTAATTAGATAAATGTCATCAATTTTCGACGATCTCCGGATGTCATAAAGTAATCAAAACACATGAATATCTAATGTATATAATTTTGTAAGAGAAGATATATATAAAAATATTTTTCTGTTTTAATTTCTCTTGACAAATTATATCTGAATATTGAGTTAGTAATCAAATATGTATATTACACAATATTGTCACATATTTAATCATCAAGAAATTTTGGAACAATAATTATAGCTATACATAAAAATGTTTACATGTACATTTGTCTATGTAAAAGAAATCAAGAAATATATTAGAAACAAATGTATATATTTCCTATAAATCTTTTCTCGTATTTTTTTTATCATTGTGTTGTAGTGCGTAGAAAATTGCCTGGCATCGAATTATACGAAACCTGGTTATTGCCCTGAGAGGACGTCCATGACGCCCTTTGAAGCTGTCTGTTTGGTAGCTTGCATCGATGACTCCCGTTGTCCGGATTTGGCGAAGTGTTGCTCCCACGATTGTGGCATCACGTGCATGCATCCCGTCGGTCTGGACAGTCGAAATGGTGAGAGTAACAACGTCTTGTGACTTCTTTCTTATTTGTATCTTGCAGGATAATTTTCACATTACAGGTGAAAATTATAAAGCTGCGAAAGTTTCAAGAAATATCAGTATCAAAACTAAATATGACACATGCTATATTATTGCTCTTGAATTTTTTCAAATGGATTTTACTTTAACATATGCAATTTGATAGTTAATTACAAAACAAATATTAATGTTGCAAATTTAAATATCAATAATAATGATCCATATCGATATTTTCACTACAAGAAAATTGATTAAAGATTTTGCTGATGAAATTTCACAGATCTTAATATTATAGATCACTGTCGTCTGTCATGAGTTTATTTGAATCATAATATTTAATTAAAATTAGATCTGCCAGCTATACCGGAGAATCTACAGATACAACAGCAGAAGAGAAACTTGGTGCTTCTAACGTGGCGTAATGGCAGGCTAGGCGTCAATAATGTATCTACCAACGAGAATGACAACACGATTCGATATTTAGTGGAAGAGCGTCACCTTGTTGGGCCTAGATACTTGGAGTCCAGGCTAAGTTCCTGGACCGTTTGCCACGTATCGACGAAGCCACACGCAACTCTTCGGGGTCGATTGAAGACCGGACACTGGTATCAATTCCGTGTGGCGGCCGTCAATGGAAATGGATCGCGTGGATATTCGCAACCCTCCAGACCCTTTAAAACGAAAGGTATGTAAAAACAAAAGGTACGTAAAACGATCAATGTAAATCTACAGTTAGCTATATTTGCAATTAAATTTATTGTGTGGGATGAATTGCTCAAATTGAAAGAAGAGTAATTTTTGAATAATTTAAGAAATAAAAAGTACTGTCGAAAAAAATACATAAGTTTCTTTACAGAAAATTGACATGTATAATTTAGAGAGAGGATTAAAAAAAATAATTTAGAGAGAGGATTTAAAAAAGTACGTATAATATATTATAATATAAAGTCAGAAAGTGGAAAAAAATATCGGATTGAATTTCTCTGAAAGTCGTCGCAACTTTTTACATTCTAATTTATTTGTCATTATGGTTAATTAAATATACATGTTTTATCGACGGCTCAAGTCGATGTCAAGTCTTCGTAAAACACTTCGTCCATCATTTCTGCATTGTAAATTGATACAAGGGAACAATAATTTAAGGATGTTATGGAAGGCTAGAGCTATTATCGTTGATTGTACGAACTCGTGGAACAACTCGTCTCACGCAAGGTCGACAGCTTCGCTGAAGAAAATTTACCTGTGAATACATTTGTTTGTTAACTGGGAATTCGGGTCAATAACCCGCAGCGAAAAGTTCCAGAGTCGTGTTAATCGCTTGCGCAAATCGCCGAAGTATTGCTTACTGTTGGGCTCTCGCACGCAAATTAAACTTCACAGGCCAATGACTAACGTGAGAACAAACATGAAAAAATCGCGAGTGCGATTATAGGATTCGACAAAGAAAGATGATTGTAATAATGTTGCGAGTCCGAATATTAAGATTAATTTTAAGCGGGTGTCTCTCAAACAGAGATCGGCAATATATTTTCACATAAATTTTCCGCCTCCATCGCAACCACGTCAAACAGGTTCGATCTATAAAAAAAAAATGATAATTAGTATGACGAACGCATCAACAGATCATGCAAAACCGGATTAAGTGTTCAAGTTGTTTCAAAGTATAGTTAAAGAATCAGATAAAAATAACGTATCCTGGCGATTATCATTCCACATCAGAGGTGGGACGTTTCTTTTATTATTTTATCTATCATTTATTTCTTGATCCCCTTGATTTACAAAATTCCTTAATTATGTAGATTATTAAAAAAATAGATTCTAAATTTATAAATAACATAGTAATGACAATTTCTGTCAAAATATTTTGTCTTATGGATTTTATTTTATATAGGTATGTAATTATTATATTATAAAAAATGAAGAGACTGAAAATTAAATAAAAAAGAAATGCAATTTTACGGTATAAAAAGATTGTCAATTTTGGAATTTAGATAATAAAATTAATAATTTATAGATGCTAATTAAAAAAAGTTTTTGTATAATAAATATAGAGATAATTTTATGAAGACATGTTATTAAAATAATAACAATAATTGCATCAAAAAATTTATTATTTTTACTGTAAAATTTAAATATATGCGATATTATACATTATATTTATATAATTAATACTGTATACATCAAAGAACAATTATATTATTGCGACATTTCGTCGATTATTGCAGAGCCGCGAAATCCAAAGGAACCCCAAAATTTGACCTTGTCTAATGCTCGATTAGTCGGTGGAAAGCTGCGTATTAACTTGCGATGGGTTAAACCGGCGTCGGATGTGCCGATATCATTCTACAAGGTGTTTTGGAGCAGACTCATTTATGGACCAACGAACGACTCCATTCTCGTCTACCACAAGACAATTCTTAAAGTAAACATATTATTTTCTAATTAAAGAATTTGAGCTGGTAAAATCTAGAAGATTCGTATTTTAGAGCGCTAAACTCTTCACGAAACATGAAGTGATTTACGAACGAACAAACGTGATCCAGTTTAGCTCTATAAACATTCGAAATTTCACCGACAATCTTCACTATTTGTTTTACTTTTGCAATCAAGATTTCCATACGTGTTTTTCAGGACAAGACATGCTACGAACTGAAGAACCTGGAGCTCAAGTGTCAGTACTTCCTGCAAGTGCAGGCGGTAGCAGTTTACGGTGGTCGACGTCTGACGTCGCGCAAGGCATCCAAGGTCTTCAACAGCACTGACTACATGGCATACGGTAAGGTATCAAACTGACTGATCTTCGGCGCGATAAGCTCATCAATCCCTCCCTCAGTCTCCCTTCTAAGTCCAGTGTAGTTGGGATAACCAACGAAAGCGGTGACCTTTCATTGAAGCCGACGTCGGGAGACGTTCTCGCAGGTGCGAGCGGACCCAGGCTGGCCTCCACGTGCGTCGCATGAACTGTCAGTGCGGGGAGGTCAACGCGCGTTTGGTCTGGCCGACGAGCGGCGAAGTTGGCACCTATAATGTCACGTGGCAAGAGGACTCGTGCTCGCGCGAGAAAGGTTCGGAACGTCGACGGAAATTTGCTGCTTGGAAAACGGTTCAGGTATACAAGGATCACAGATTTTTCTGTCTTCGAATATTACATATGTAAATGTCATCAGCAATCAAATACTATAAATTAATCGAAAAATATAGAACATTTTAATTTGGCATTACGAATAATTTCAGACATCGTACTATGATCTGCGACAACTTCGAAACAACTGTATGTATAGCGCGACTGTGCGAAACGTATTAAAAAACGGCGAGAGCGACGATCATGGGACCAGTATAGAGTTCTTCGCGACCGGATGTCAGGGTGATCAGAAGCGACAGAAGTATTCGCGGCGGAAAGCAGGACGATGTAAGTCGAAATCTTCTAGATCAAGAAGGCAATTCTCCGGTCTATTTGTGATATAAATTTGCTGACCGCGGCAGCGGTATGTAGGACAGACAAACTATAATTGTAATATTCATAATATATGAATATTCTAATAATAATCTTTATAGAGATTATGAATATTATTATAGCAACTTATTTAATTTTTTATGGCAAATAAGAGAAAGCGTTACATTAATCGTATCTAATAATACAATATTGGAAAAATCTCCGACATCAAATTTTTTGAAGAATTCAAAGAAAAAGCATGACTCTTCTGCAATATATGTTTATTGCTTAGAATATATAATGTTTTTATTATTATAAAATCTAGGAGAGACGTAATAATAGATTTCTGTTAAATTAAAAATAGGTTTAAAAAATTATATTTAAAAAATTATATATATAGATCACACACAAAAAAGAAAATACTAATATGTTTATACCTATTTAGAAGAAGATATATTGCTTATAACAAAAAGTATATTTTTAAACATGATCGATATTCAAAGTTTTATATCACTGAGAATTGAGAAAAATTCTATTCAGAGTTGATTTCAATTTTAAAAGTTGGATAATAACAAGCTATACCGCGATAGCATTTACCGTATTTGCCTTTTAATAAAATATTCCCAAATCAAATATCTTTATTTTTTCAAAAATCATGTATACACAATGTTCTCAAGAACTTAATAAAACTGTAGATATAAGTTCTTGATTATATTATGTACACAAAATTATCTTTTAATCATATGAAGAATATTTGACATCAGTTTATTGAAATGCAAATGAAGAAGCAAATACAATATATATATAGCAATAGAGAACTTATGTAAGTTTACTATAAATAAGATATTTTTTTTATATAAAATCAAATACATCGTCTTATATGTATTTTTCTCGTGTTTTAGTTTTTGTAGATCAAAATAATAATATTTATTCTTTTAATTATACACATATGATATATGACACATTTCAAATAAATTTATATTTTTATGTAACATAAAATAATTTTTATAAAAATCAAATTGTGTTTTATTAAAAACTCACATGTACTTACGATCTAAATTTTAAAAAATCTTATTCAATTAAGATTAATCATTAATTTCGAGAAAAAGAAAGAGAGATACTCCAATTGTCATCTAAGATCTAAGATTTACATTTATTTCTCTTTAAATTTTTTAATCTCATATTACTATTACAGTATTGACACTTTTTACTCCAAGAATTTTTAAACGTTGTTATTTTAGTTCACAAATTTTGTTATAATAATATTTGCTCTTTAACTTTATTATTTATATTTAAACTATTTAATCAAAGATTGGTTAATTATTATCCGTATTAAAAAAAAATTTGATTTAAAGAATACTATATTATAAAGTCTACAAAAAAATACATGCTTTTTATTATTTCTCACGAGTAGAAGGTACCCTCAAGAGCAGAAGAGCGATTGAATATGATTGATTTAAAATCTAAAATACAATTAACAAATTTTAAGAATATAAAAAAAGATATAAAAATAATATAAAAGATTCGAATAATATCATTATATTCAAAGCTATAAAAAATATAATCTTACCGTCATAAATGAGGGTAAAGATAGATTAAACTTATCGCACATAGAAAGTTTGCATCCTAAATTATTACCTAATATCATTAACATAAATGTACGTTTTACGGATGGTCCAAATTGATACCATTTTTCGTGAAATGCTATATCCGTCACATTTTGGCTCTAAATAAAAGAGAAAAATGATAATTTATATAAAGGAATGATTTCTTCATTACTCTACTGCTTTACGCATTTAATCATATTTATGAAAACTTGATAATATAAAATCTTGGTAAAATTAAACAAGTTATATATATTGATTATTCAACAATATCTTTCTGGCTTTCCAAACCCAAAAAAGAGTATATATAAACTTTTTATATCAAAATAGAGTAGTAGCTAATGAGAATTTGAATTAATAAAGGAAAAAAACAATGATAAACATTATACAAATAAACATACCGCGTCCAATAATTGCTGGACGCAAAAACACAACATGTAGAATTGAACTATTGAGCCACATGCGAACATAATTATTGAGGAACCTTCCATGAAAGTTGTTGATGATACCTGACATTGCATCCACGTTATAACGTACATCATTTATATAACGTAATTTATATTAAACATATTATATTAATATTAATATTTTAATATATTTTTTTAAATATTAACATTAAAAATAATATGGATTTATTGTTCAAAAACTACTTATAATACATTTTTTGCATAGATATTAATTATTAATATTAATGAAATAATTAATATCTGCAATTGCTACTCACTGTACTCAACATGACACCAATGAAACAAAATCGTAAAACGCTGTTTACATAGAGCATACTAAAGTTCACAGATAGTAATTTTTTAAGCATAGAAGATAAGCTAAAAATAAAATTCTTGTATACATATATAAGATATGTGTGATAATGTTGTGTAATTTAAAATATAAAAATAAGTAAATTAATACATATTTAATTCTTAAAAAATTGTTACTTTCTTTATGACTTAAACTTAAATTGTGCAAGGTAAACAACTGCATCTTGCTTATAAAAAATCATAGGTTAAAATTGAATAAATGACAAATAATAATATTATAAAGTTAGCATACACTATATGGTGAAAATTTTTTCTGATAAAATAAGTTTAATATAACTATCGATGTATTTTTTTAAATAATTTTTTTACAACAAGATTTTTATACAATTTTATTAATTAAAAACTGATTCAATTACTTACTGAATGACAGAATTGTGATGTCGACATAATGCTTCCATTTCCAGTTTTATTGATTGGTCCTTAAATTGATATTTCTGAGAAAAGCCATCGAATTCATTTCGCGAATTTTCATCTCGAAATATTGTTGCGAGCTTCGTAGCGATATATCGATATTGCGCTGTTATCAGTAGCACTAAATGTATGGTATAAATATCCACTCCAACTTTTTTCACAAAAATATAGACGTTACTCAGCAGCAAGATCACGTTTCCTACTAAGAAGACATCGATCGAGAAAGGCTGTTTAGAAAAAACTGCTGGTATTCTATAATCCTCGTAAAGGAAGGAAACTTTCTCGAAAACTAACAAAAATGGTATGCAGCACCATACGAGAACAGCCAACCAGCCAGCAAAGAAATAAAATTTGAGTGGATCTTCCATAGGCTTCAAAGTCGTTGTCACAATATTTTTCATAGTCTCATCCGCAGCACGTAAAATGTTGTTCAGTTTTTCAATCAATTGGATCATCAGCTTTTTGTGTGCCTGAATCCTTATTATCATGAAGAACACCTCTAGAGTGACTACGCACGTAACTGTACCATCTTTCAAGATCTTCTCTAGTGGCACTAGAATCATTCCGGGAATTAATACAATAGCTTGGATCACTTCAACCAGCCATACAAAGAAGCTGTAAATCTTCCACGTTATTGAAAAATGCGAATTTTTTGATAAAGGTAACAAATTACCCGAAATAAGGTTTACGCGAACGTTTAAAGAATTTATATTTTGAAAATTCATATTTCCAAATCTATATAAATTCACGAGAAGTGATAAATTCACTTTTTTTAAATGTTCGTATTTTCTGAATATAATTTACTTATTTGAGGTTGATTGTTACAATACATTTAAAACAAACTATACGAGAATCAAATAAAGATCGTGTACTTTTTTAGTTCATCATCACGCTACTACTTTTCTATCAAGACTGGCGTGCGTTGTTTTTCTGTCCTTTGAAGATTCAGGGAACTGTCGATTTACAGCTATTCATTATTCTTCTTGAGAATACTCTGTTATTAATATAATATGTATAATCATAGAAGGGAGACATTCTGCTCTTTTTAATAACAACAAAGCACACAGACAAAAAATTAAGATGTAAAGAATGTCATTAATCCCGTATAGAGAATCTAGAAAAAACTTTTTATATGTTGTTATAGGAAATAAAAAATTTAACTGTAAAGTTGCCAATAAAAGAAACGATAAAATTGATGGCAGATATAAAAGAAAAAAAGGATATAATTTATTTCATTCTATTCATTTTATCTATTGTAAAAAATGCATGTGATTATAAATTTACTTTTAGTTACCAATGCTCTGTGAAGTGGCAATTATCTTATAGCTCTTCGTCGATCATATTGCAGAGCAGTGAAATCCGCAAATATTGTAAAATCTTGTCTTACAATAGAATATTGTCTAAATGTCTAAATGTTCTTATGGTAATTATTTATCTATGATGGTACTGTAGGGCACAAATATTAGACAGACAGTTAACAAACTTGTGACGAGACGAAAGAGATTCATTATTATTGGTCGAAAATATTGACTGACGCGACCAAGGTGCACAAGGCACCAAATTTTACTTGGTCACGGCCAAGACTTAAAATAGGAATAATCTCTATACATGAGATTTAATTCCATACATCCCCTCTTCTCCCCTAAGGAAATAAATGCGAGAGAAAATATAGATCCGAAAGTCGCTGAATCGGGAATGGAACCCGAGACCTTTCGCTTGCCGGGCGACTGCTCTTCCAATCACAATAGCATTCAATTTTGGAATCAATCTGCGCACTAATTTCTTACGCGCATGAATACGTAAGACCACAAATATCACTTCCATTGTGATCACAATACCAATCAAACTATTTTTTAAAATCTTTTCTTTCGACATTTGATAATATCCAAGAATTAGCGTACATATTTGAGCTGCTATGAGCCATACTAGAAAGCTGTATACTTTCCAAAATATAAAATATGACGAATCATCACCAGTCATCGGTGATAAATTGTTTGAGATCATGTTCAATCGAACATTTAAAGAATTCACATTTTGCACGTTCATAATCTTGATTGCTTTTTGTTACTAATAAATGTTATTCTGTAAAGTAAAAGACATAATAATTAATTTAGACTAGCTAATTATATATTTTTTCGTATATAATTATGCGTTTCTACATCTCTTAAATAAAATTATAATTGTGGCAATTTTTTAATATGTTGTTTGTGTCATATATTATTACAACGTATAAGCATAATTTAAAAAAAATTTAAGATTCACATTATTATAGTCAATTAATTAGAAACATTTATTTAAACTTTCAAAAATATAAAACTTTCAAAAATAAAATAAAAAATAATTTAATTTTAATTTTGTAATATTTGTTCTAAGAAAAAGAATCACTATATGTATTATAAAGAAAATTATACAAACAATTTATATATATTTAATTATTTTAATATTTAACTTTTATGCATTGTATAATTAATTAATATACTTTTATGCATGCATTGCAATAATAATTTTTATGCGTTGCAACTTTTGATATATATATATATATATATATATATATATATATATATATATCTTATAAGGAATGACCATCAGTCATCGGTAATAAATTACCCGAGATCAAATTTAATCGAGCATTTAAAGGATTCGCGTTTTCTATGTTTATGATCTCGATTGTTTTTGTTATTTATAAATGTTCTATAAAAGCATAATTGAGATTTCTAATAATTGATTCTATATTTTCGTGATTTTTTTCTATGTTAATTAAAACTGTATATACTAATTGTGGCAATTCCTTAAAATTTCTTGTTTTAAGAGTAAAGTAATGCTTTTATTATTTTAATGGTCGCGAGTTGCTTTATGACTACTTGAGTGTGAATGAATTATTTGTATCAACATTAGAACTGTGAATACCTAATTATCTGTACATTTAATTTTATGAATATAAGTATGCTGCCTTCTAAGCCGGGCAATAGAGCCAAGGAAACGAAACGAAAAATTAATTAAACGGAACTGTATCTCAATTTGAGATCCCAAAGTTATTTCTCCATATGTAAGTTTCGAAATTAATTTATATGTGGAACTTTGGGATCTCAAATTGAGATACAGTTCCGTTTAATTAATTTTTCGTTTCGTTTCCTTGGCTCTATTGCCCGGCTTAGAAGGCAGCATACTTATATTCTTTATATTGAGAGCCGATAAAAATATTTATTTCTGAATTTAATTTTATGTTAGAAGTTTTTGTGCATTAATAAGTGCATATATGTAAAGAAATTCGTGAAATATATAATAATTTGCGAATATAGATGTTTATCTAATGTAGAAAACTATATCTAATACAAGAGAATAAACGCGATTAAACGTACTTGTAATTACTCGATAAAGTAATAATTATCTTTTATATGACTTTGCGATGCTTACAGAATAGCAAGATTAAAGAAACATTGAAAACTTACTATTGTTTATCATGTTGTATCAACGTTGCATTAATTTAAAATATACTAACTAAGACAAAGTATTTCAGTAGGTTACTGAGGTTCAGTATGTAGATTATAATTTACTAGCTTTTCGGACCGCGCTTCGCGCGGTCCTCAAAGCCAGGCTTTCTATTCGGACCGCGCTTTGCGCGGTCCTCATATAGTCTATATTAAATCCGTTTTAACACAAAAAATTAATTCTTTTTTTGTATTACCGCGAACTACTTCCACATTTGTTGTTCGACTTTCACGAAATTTATACCAAAATAAATGTTTAAATTTTTTTGTGGATGACTACTATGTTATCTATTTCTTTCTCCCAGATATTTTATTTTCTTTTTTAAGACACGCTTTCTCTCTCTCTCACTCTAAAACACACGCGCTCCCTCTCTCTCTCTTTAAGACACATGCTCTCTCTCTCCTTATCTCTCTCCCTCCCTCTTTCTTTAAGACACACGCTCTCTCTCTCTCTCTCTCTCTCTCTCTCTCTCTCTCTCTCTCTGTGTGTATGTGTGTGGGGTTTTTTAAGTTTACGCTTTCACCTACGCATCCACCCACACAATCGCATATTTATGAACGGATTTTTTAAAAAATTGGTACCAAAATGTTGCAAATTTTTGGCGACGATGTGGTTTTTTCAAGTGTTAAACCTCCACCCACACGCATGCGCATTTATGGACCAATTTTCACGAAATTAGTACCAAAATGTTGCAAATTTTTCTGAGAAAGCTGCTGTGTGGTTTTTTTAAGTTTTATCCCACCCACGCATGCATCCACGCATTCACACATTTATTCACATACTTTTTTGAAATTTGTAGTTAAATTTTGTTGGAGATGGCTACTATGATTTTAACAAATTTTTATCATCCTATTCATCCACCCACGCACCCATGCACCCATTTGCATACGCATTTATTGACTTGGTCACACCAAGAAGTAATTTTTAAAAAATTTGTGTACGTATTTGTGATTATGTGTGCAATTCGTGTAAATAAACCTTTAATTTGTATGCAATTTTCACGAAATTAGTACCAAAATGTTGCAAATTTTTGCAATCACAAACATGTACACAAATTTATTTAAAATTACTTATTGGTGTGACCAAGTCAATAAATGCGTATGCACATGGGTGCATGGGTGCGTGGGAGGATGAATAAGATGATAAAAATTTGTTAAATCATAGTAGCCATCCCCAACAAAATTTGAGTACAAATTTTGAAAAAGTCTGTGAATAAATGTGTGAATGCGTGGGTGAATGCGTGGGTGGGATAAAACTTTAAAAAACCACACAGCAGCTTTCTCAAAAAAATTTGCAACATTTTTGTACCAATTTCGTAAAAATATTGGTCCATAAATGCACACGCGCGTGGATGAATGCGTGGGTGGAGGTGTAACAATTGAAAAAACCACATCGTCGCCATCTTCAAAAAATTTGCGACATTTTGGTACCAATTTTTAAAAAATCGGTTTATAAATATACGATTGCGTGGGTGGGTGCGTGGGTGGAGGCGTAAACTTAAAAAAATAAAACACCAGCTTTGTCAGAAAAATTTGCAACATTTTGGTACTAATTTCGTGAAAATTGGTCATAAATGCGCATGCGCGTGGGTGGGTGCGTGGGTGGAGGTGTAACACTTGAAAAAACCGCATCGTCGCCATCTCCAAAAAATTTGCAACATTTTTGTACCAATTTCGTAAAAATATTGGTCCATAAATGCGCACGCGCGTGGATGATTGCGTGGGTGGAGGCGTAAACTTAAAAAAATAAAACAGTAGTTTTCTCAAAAAAATTTGCAACATTTTGGTGCTAATTTCGTGAAAATTGGTCCATAAATGCGCAAGCGCGTGGGTGGATGCGTGGGTGGGTGCGTGGGTGGGGGTGTAACACTTAAAAAAACCGCATCGTCGTTATCTCCAAAAAAATTTGCAACATTTTGATACCATGTGTTCAGAAATATTGCAAAAAAAGATTAAACATACCCTCCTCTGTAGAAAAAAAAAAAATAAAAAAATTAAAAAAAAACCCTACAGCAGCCACCCCCAAAAAATTTGCAACATTTTGGTACCAGTTTCACGAAATCGGTCCACAAATGCGGAAGTAGTTCGCGTACATACATACAGACAGACGGTGCTTATATATATAGATTTTTACGAATTAAAATGTCTGATAAAAATTAAATATTTAATTTTTTAACAGAGAACAAAAAATAGAATTTTGTACAAGAATCTTCCGATCAAAATATATACTTATGCTTTCACTAAATTTGCGCGTCCGCCACGCTGCATGACTCGCGCGAGACTGATCATGTAATCGTCAGTCTCGCAATCAGTGTTGTTAGACGGGCTAGGTTTTTTCGCGCATGCGCATTGAATGTAGTATTAATGAAGTAGTCACTCGCATGAAATGGGGTCCTGATTTCCCCCTCTGTTTAATTTTTCTTAAATTATTGAAAATTTTTTAAAATAATTAATGAATCGTATAATTTTTATTATAAATATAATAAATTTAATTAAAAATGTTAAATATAAACATACAATAAACAAATAATGAAATTATAAAATATATACATATACGTGTACCTATGTTATAACATACGTAAATTACGAGTTTAGTTTTTATTTATACAATTTATAATTTGAATTATTGATTAATTTTAATATACATAAATTATAATAATACACTTTTATATTACATATATTGTAATAATTTATTTATTTTTACGTACGTTCAATTTATCTGTTTCCTGCGATTCCGCCAAAACTCCGTGGTCCAGGGTTTTGGTCCGTAGTTGCGCGCGCAAACATCATACGTTACTGTAGTCGTCATGGTTACGTCACGGTAATACGCGCATGCGCGAAAAAACCTAGCCCGTCTAACAACACTGCTCGCAATCGCAATGTCTCGAACGAGAATTAGTCGCGCGCGAGACGCGCAGCGTGACGGATGTATGGGGTGTATTAAGCTAATGGAAAGGATAGAAAGAGAGATGTTTTTGCAGAGCCCGGTTCTCCAGTTTATTCTTGCATTTGAAGTGGGGTTTTGCCGTCAGGTGACGATACCGCTCAGAGTCTTGCGCTTGCGGTCAGCGTCAGCTGACCGTCAGCGGTCAGTAGTGACAGTGGTCAGGGTCAGTCTCGCGCGACACGTGTGACCTGGTGGATGCGTCTAGATGCGTGAGTTTAATCAAAGTGTAGATGATATTTGATCGAAAGATTCTTGCAAAAATTCTGTTTTTTTATTTGCACCTTCCGTTAAAGATTTAAATATTAAATTTTTATGTATTACATAATTAATTAATAAATTTTTATGTATACGTTGCAATAATAATTTTTATTCATGCTTTGCAATTTTTGAGATTTTATTATCAAGAAATAATATAACTCAGCTTCGTGCGTTTTATTACAAAAAATACGAACAATTTATATATATATGCACTTACTATTATTTTACGTATCTTTCTATCGATGTTTCCGCTTCTAGCTATTCAGCAGAACAAACAGGACACAACAAACAGTATATGAAGTTTATCGCTGTACTTTGAACAATTTATTATTCTCCTTGATTTTATCTTCTTTTTCATTAATGCACTGTATGCTATCATTATGCGACAGTATACACAAAATTGAAGTACGCTTTTATTATTTTTAATAATCGCGAGTTGCTTTATGACTACTTGAGTGTGAATAAATTATTTGTGTCAACATTATAACTTTGAATATCTGACTACCTGTACATCTAATTGTACGTTAAGAAGTCTTTGTGCATTAATAAGTGCATATATGTAGAGAGATTCGTGAAGTATAATAATTTGCGAATATAGATGTTTATATATTGTAGAAGATATCCAATACAAGAATAAACGCGACTAAACGTACTTGTAATTACTGCTCGGTAAAGTAATAATTATCTTATATGGCTGCTCGGTAAAGTAATAATTATCTTATATGGCTGCGATTCTCACAGAATAGCAAGATTAAAAAAAACATTGAGAATTTATTATTGTCTATCGTATTATATCGACGTTTTATTAATCTGAAATATACTAAGACAAAGTATTTTAGTAGGTTACAGAGGTTCAGTATATGTAGGTTACAAGTTATTTCTATGGATTAAGATGTCTAATTGTTAGATATAAATTATTTTGATATAAATTTTATTAATGATTCTTTATTTATATGTCGCAAGGTAATTCATAATGTAAATTATTACATTTAGTTATTTATTATTTGATATTCTATTAATAATACATTTTCAGAAATATTTGCGGCTTTTGTTTTAAGTAAGTGTATACTTTTGAAAAATTTTTTATATTGATAGTTTTACATTTTTACACATTAAGAATAACAAACGAAATAAATTATATATATTGAATTTTTAATTCAATAAATATAATTATTAGTTAAGATTCAGTTATTGTATGTGTGTATACATATATAAAAATAAATAAGAATAACAAAATACTTTAAATTGTTTATAAAATTTATAATATTAGATGGAAAACTATAGAAAATAATATTCTTTTAAAAATTAAAAATAATTTTATTTAGCTAGTTTAAAATATTTATATTACATTAAGATATTTGTCAAAAATAAATTTTGCATTTTACACTAAACTAATATAGACAGAATATTATTTTTTATAGTTTGTTCACATATAATGACATTTATAGACTTCTTATTAGTTTATTTATATAATTATTAATTTCAATTTATAATTTTTGTATATATTATTTTTCTAATAATATTAATTATTAGTTGTTACTATATCTTTACTGAAATAACAATGCAAATTTTATTAAAAGAAAATAAAAGTTTCTTCAACATATTTATAACAATTTTAATTACCATATTACAGCATCACTTTTTTTTATTTTATCTTTAACAATAGAATGGCGATAGAATATGATTGATTTAAAACCTGAAATTATTAAAAAATTATACATAATTATCGTAAAATATTATTAAATATATATTATTAATTATATAATGAAAAGAAATCTTACAGCCATGAATGACGGCAAAGATAGATTAAATTTGCCAAATGTTGACAGTTTTAGCTCTAAATTACTAGCCATTATCACTAACATGAATGTACGTTTTATAGATATATTAAATCGATACCAATCTTCATGAAATGCTTTATCCGTTATTTCCATACTCTGTGCACAATATAATTTCTAATTATAAGACATTTTTGGTTTAATCTTTTTATGTTCACGAGACTTTATATTTATATAACTTGAAACTTGAAAGCAATTATAAAGATTAATTTTATTTGACTTCTTGCAATCTTGATTAAAAACAGGTTATTCAACAAAACATAAAATTTTCTTCAATTTAAAAATTATTTTCTAAGTCTGATAATGAGATAGAACAATATATATGTATATGTTACAATATATAAATTTTACCGCCTCCACTAATTTTTGGACGCAAGAACACAATATGTAAAATTGCAACATTGCGCCGGTTCCGTACATAAAGACCATGAATCCTTCCAGAAGAGAAGATGATATCTAAAGTTTCACGAAGATACATCGCTGCGATAACTGATGATAATTTACGAGAATAATTTTATAATTTATTACATCATTGTATTTGCAAACCTAAGACAGCATTTCTAAAGTAATTAATGTCAAAAACTTTTATTCTTACCTTAGTTAACATAATACCAAGAAAACAAAATCGAAAAACGTTATTTATGTATATTAACGAGAAATTTAAAGATAACAATTTCTTCAGCATTAGCGTTATGCTGAAACAGAAAAGCATAATATTTGTATTTGCAAAATATATTACATAAAAAAATCAGAATACAGTAAATTATAATATTGTATTTTAAAAATATATTATATATAATATACTTGTTAAAAAAAAATTAAAATTGATGCGCGTTTTGAACGAAAATTTTTTGAAGAGTTTGCAGTTTTACTCTAATAATGTTAAGAAATATATTTACCGTGTAATAGAATTGTGATGCCGACATAAGCTTCTGATTTCTTTCTCTGCGAATAAATCTGTTTTAAAATTATTTTCTCGAGAATTGCCATTACTATATTGCGGATGATCACTGTCTTGAAATATCGATACAAGTTTAAAAGCAATGTATTGATACTGTGCCGTCACCAATGCTACTAGATATGTCATATACACGTCCACACCGACCTTTTTAAAAAAAATATACATGTTGCTGATCAATAATATTATACTGCCCAGTAAGAAAATATCCGTGGAGAATGGCTCCTTGGAAAAGGTAACTGGCATTTTGTAATCTTCGTAAAAAAAAATATCTTTTTTGGCAGCTAACGGGAGAGTTATGCAGCAAAACAGAAAAACAGACAGTGAACCACCTGCTAGGTAAAGTCTGAATGGGATTTCCATAGGTTTTAAATTTACTGCGATAATTTTTTTCATGGCTTCGTCTTCAACGTGTAGAATATTGTTAAGTTTCTGTATCAAATGTTGCACTAATTCTCTTTGCGCTTGAATTCGTGCAACCATGAAGATTCCTTCTAAGGCAACTATTATACTGAGCAGACCATCATTTAATGCTTTTTCTAATGACACGCAAAAGCAACCAAAGATTAATGCACCTGTATATATGAATTCGAGTAACCACACAAAGACACTATATATCTTCCAAAGTATCGGAAATGACGAATTGGCAGTCATAGGTAATAAATTGCCCGATAACAAATTTAAATAGACATTTAAGGAATTCATTTTTTGGAAATCCATGAGTTTGATTTTCAGCTTTTTGCGGTAAATAAATATTGTTCTGGAAGAGAAGAACATAATATAAACGTAGTTTAATTGATCGATTTTATTCTTTTGTAAATGTGCAATTTTACTATGTGCTAAATAAGACTTATACATATATATTAATTATTAGCTGCGTTTTAAAATTTCATTCACATTAAATTTACGTGCATAAATATTACTTCAGTAATATTTAAAGCCAACACACTTGCGATTAATCAAACTCAATATCCCTTTTTAAACTTAAAAAATTTTTTAAATGGAAAAACTTTGAAAATTTACTTAATTTTAATTGTCATTAATAAACTTGTTCTTTGAAAGAGTCACTGTTAGCACTATATTCTGAAAATATACAGACATTGTATATGCACTTACTTTCGTCTCACGTTTCTAGTGACATCCACGCTCTTCTCTGACCATAAGAATGTGTAGGGCATATTTATCAGTATTTAAAAGTTACTGACATATCTTGAACTTATTTGTCCGTTTGTAAATTCTTCTTATCTGTCATTAAGACATTAATTGTCATACAGCAATTTACAGAATTGGAAATTTATTCCATTTGTAATTACACGGGACATTTGCCGCTCTATGTTCATTTATCGAGTGCATCATGGATAAATCATCAAATAATTACAACGTTATGAATAATTGATAGACGTCATATGCTGTACACGAATATAAAGGAGTTTGTGAAACAACAAATGTTGTGATAATTAATAACAATTTATTAAAGGAAACTGGTTTTAACGCGACTATAGGTTTGCTTGTAATTAACGTAGTATAAAGTAGTAATTATATCTTAGGCTGTACTGTCACGACCCTTTCTCATTGTCAATACTACAGAACCCGAGAAACGCTCTAAATTTACTGCTGTCTGATTCATTCTATTTACTAGAAGAATTTCATATTAATCTGGAATATACTATAACTAAAAAAGAAATTTTTTATTAGAATAATTTATAATATATTAAAATATCCTATTTTTATCACAAACTGATTATTAAGGTAAATTATTATTTTCTATATAATTTTTTAATTATATATTTATTTTAATTATTATTATTTATTATTTAAGTTTCTGTTAATGATAAATTAGAATTAAAAAAATAAAATTTAAAAGTTATTAATTATGTAACAAGATAAAAATTTATTTTAAACATAAATTAATTTCTATTTATATATATATATATTTCTTGTTCATTAAGATTTATATACTTACAATATATGTAAAATACTGCATAATACTCTCATCATTTTTTAACTGGTTTTTAATAACAGAAGTGCAATAGAGTATGACTGATTTAAAATCTAGAATATATATGATTGATTCAAAATCTAGAACATTACTCAACATTAAAAAAAAAAATAAAAATGCTAGTAGAATATTTTAGAATATATGTATATTATATATAAAACTCACCACCATGAATGAGGGCAGAGACAGATTATATTTTTCAAATGTTGAAAGTTTAAGCTCTAAATTATTAGTTGATATCATAAATAAGAATATCTGTTTTACGGAAGGTGTCAATTGATACCACTCCTGATGAAATGCTTGATCCGTTATTTCAATACTCTAAATTACAAAGAAGATAACAATATGTAGTTCAAATAATAAATTGAAGTTTATGTAGTGAAAGGTTGCGAACCCGCACACACTTGTAGCAATCACATATCAATGATTTTTACATATTTTTACATATCAGTCGCAAAAAGAGTAATTTATCTATGCAAAGCACTTGCGTTTTTCAGCCTAACAAATAATTGCTAGAAAACGATATTTGTTAATTAGAAAAATATATGAGATAGCTGAATGGAGAATTGAATCTTTCTAGGCAACTTTTCTTATTATTGAATTAATCTCAGGAATATACTTAATAACATTGTATATAATAATATATGTTCTGTCTATATCTAATCTATGCATAATAATATATTTTTGATTCCTCGCATTTTTTATTTATACTACTTTATATTTAATATATGCATATATATATAAAAAAGTATATATTACTTAATTATATAATTAACAATAAAGTATATAACTCTAAATTTACCGCATCTAATAGCTGTTGTACACAAGAACATATTATAAAGAGCTGTACTACTCCTCCAGATGCATACATAGCGATCAGGGATCCTTCCAATAAATTCGTTGATGGTATCTAAAGTTTCAAGAAAACACAAAATTATGATACCTATAAGTGTATAATTTATAATATTTTTTGATAAGATACACCTATATACAACATCTTTTATTATCATATATATAATTTTCACATCGTCAAAAAGACTCTAAATATTAATTAATTTAAAAAATTATAATTTACTTACTGAAATTACCATGATAGCGATACCGCAAAACCGAAGAACGCTAATAATATATATTAAACTAAAATTCAAAGATAGCAGTTGTCTCAACATTAACGTTATGCTAAAACAGAATTTATAAAATGTTATCAAATTACATATTAAGTTAAAAATTAAAATTAAAATATTTTTTTACATGCTAATTAATGTAAATTTATTTTATTAAATATTACAATAAAACGGTACATTTTAAATTTAATTTTTTAAGTGCACTTTTTACTAAAAAATATTACGTAAAGAGATTTATATTAAATAAAAATCTTTTTATAAAAAAGTTTTCGATTCTATTAACATTAAAGTTTTAGTTAACAAATTTACCGAAAAACTGCGGTATAATGCTGACATAAAGATTTCATCTTTTCATCTGTATTAAAATTTGTTTCAAAATAAAGCTTTTTTTTATTAGAATTATCATTATCATTAATTTGCAGAGCTCCATCGTGAAATATCATCGAAAGTTTTATAGCAATATATTTATATTGTGCCGTTAATAATAATATCAGATTTATCATGTAGCTATCCACACTAACTTTCTTTGTAAAAATATACATGCTGCTGAACATAATGATAAGACTTCCCAACACAAAAATACCGCTTGAGAATGGTTCCTTTGTGAAAGCAATCGGCATTCTAAAATCCACATAGAAAAAGGTGCGTCTTTGAAAGACTAACATAAATGGTACGCCACTCCATATAATTATAGATCCCAAGCCGGCCATCCAGTAAAACCAAAGGGGAATCCTCATTGGTTTCATCGTCGCTATTATCGTATTTTTCATTATTTCGTCTTCTATGCGTAAAATGTCATTTAATTTCTGGAATAATTGCTGTACTAGTTTCCTGCGCGCGTGAATTTGTACGACCAGGAAGACCACTTCTATTGTGACCACAATAGCGACCAAACCATCTTTTAAAGCTTTTTCTTTCGGCACGTACATGCATCCGGGGATTATTATTATTGTTTGAATTAATTCAAGTAACCATACTAAAATGCTGTATATTTTCCATAATACGGGAAACGATGAATTGTCAACAGTTATTGGTAAGAGATTCCCTGAGATCTTATTCAATCGAACATTAAAAATGTTAATTTTTTGAATATCCATAATAAGAGTTTGATGTCGTCTTTTGTAATAAGTTCTATTCTATAAAACGGAAGGTATAAATAATTATAATTGAGACTTCGATCTAGGTTTTCGTTTCATTTGATATTTTTGTTCTACATTAATATACAGGGTTTGTCCGGAAAGTAATGCGTCGCATTTTTTTGTGACGCGACTATACATCGCAGAGCGATGGGACCGGTTGGGGAGGAAGGGGGGTACCCTTAGCTTTCCAACGGTAGGTCGCTCAATTGTTTCCATGCGCTTGGAGGGTTAGGACGGCTTATTCTGTGAACCTCTGCTTAGTGGTCGCGTCGAACTTGTGATGGAGAGAACGATAGAGCAACGCTATGCGATAAAGTTATATTACGGCCTACCTGACCCGGATCGGTGTGGCAACGGTGCCGCAGCCGCCCTACAGTCCCGACTTGGCCCCGGCGGACTTTTTTTTATTTCCTCGGCTGAAAAGGGAGCTCAAAGGACAACAGCTCGAGTCGGTTGACAACGTACAAGCTACTTCGACGGCCTCCCTGAACAGCATCCCAGTCAAGGAGTTCCAGAAATCTTATGACGCATGGAAATCGCGTTGGCAAAAATGTATTGACGCAGAAGGGTCATACTTCGAACAATTTTAAGTTGTTTTACCTATGCGATCAATAAATTCTTTTTTAAAAAAATGCGACGCATTACTTTCCGGACAAACCCTGTATATATTAATTATTACTTATTTCATCATTTCTTAAGATTTTTTATTTATATCTCTATCTATATATTTTGATATATTTAAAATTAACTAACTTCCAATTATAATGAATTAATAATATACTTTTTTAATTTTAAGTTTCCAAAATTAAAAAGGAAGGCGATTTTTTTTCAATCATAACTCGTTCCAAAAAATACTTTTAGATTTTTTATGTTTTAAATAAAAATATATAGACACTGTGTATTATGTACATAGTATATGCACTGTATATGTATACATACCGTATATACACTTTGCTTTATATTTCTATCTCGATACTCATCCTCCTTTCTGTCGAAGTGTATAATCAAGACTTTCTAAGACTAGTTCGACAGTTATTACTATAGCTGGAACAATTTATTATTTCTCTCAAGTTTTTCCCCTCTATTTTTCAATATACTATATGCTATTATTATGTGACAATGTACATGAAATATAAAATACGCTTCTCTTTCATTCTAAATGTCGACATTTGCCATATGATTACTACTCGAGTATATGTAGCATAGTAAATCATAAATAGTCAGATCACGATTCTTTGAATATCTGATATGTCAGGAAGACTTATTTGTGCATTAGTGTACATATATAAAAGAAAGATAAAGTATAAATGTGATGGTGGACAATGATTTATTGCAGAAAAGTACTCTGAATTTAGAAAAGACAAATATACGACTATTTTATTTGATTGTCACATTTCTATTATCTATGATTATTTTATTGTATATGGCTGCGACTGGATTGAGGATTCCTCATGGATCCTCAGTAATATCTAACAGCTCTAATGCATCCATGAAAAAACTTTATATTCATACATGAAGTATAAGTTTGAAGTCTGCAAGAAGTCTGAATCTATTAGTGTTTTAGTGTTTTAATGTTTAAGTGTTTTAATAAATTCATATGTAGAATATGTTTTAAATAACTATATCTTCATATATCTATATTGCAAGCTCATCTTTAAGTAAGTTATTATATATAATTAATTAATATATTTGATATTTTACTAATAATTTCCAAAAGCTTATATAAGACATACAAACTTTATGTTTGTTAAAAATAATTGTAATCAATTAAAAATTTATAATTATTATTTAATGTAAAATAAGATAGAAGAATAGATTTTATTATAAATTCAACATTCTACATTGCATTGTCATAAACAGTTAGAGTTTATTAATTCTCAATTATCTACATCACACAGTGAAATCTGTATATTGTACTAACATTTTTACTTACATTTAATAATTGTCTATTTTATTGTACATTTAACACTATATTTACTGAAAAAACAAATTTTAGCACAATAAAAGTTGATCTTAAAAAGTTAAATATATATTTATTTATATATATTTTTTTCAATAAAATTACTTACATACTGTGTATAAACCTATACAGTCATCCTCATTTTTCAATTAGTTTTTAATAATAAAAGCGCAATGCTATATGATTGATTCAAAATCTAGAACATTACTCAACATTTAAAATAAAAGAAAATAAAAATGCTAGTAGAATATTTTAGAATATATGTATATTATATATAAAACTCACCACCATGAATGAGGGCAGAGACAGATTGTATTTTTCAAATGTTGAAAGTTTTATTTCTAAACTATTACCCATTATCATAAACATGAATATCCGTTTTATAGAAGATCCAAATTGATACCATTCCTCGTGAAATGCTTGATCCGTTATTTTAATACTCTAAATTAAATAAAAAGTAACATATGCATATAGATTTTTTTAAAAAAGGGGAACATTTTTTATCCTAAAAAAGTATGCTATTTTCAAACTCGAAAAATCATCGTAGACTAAATATTAAAAAAACATTTTGACTTTTGAAGTGTCAACTTTAACGCGCTGTCGTTGATTTTATAAAATAATTTATTTTACTTATTCTGAAACATGCAGATTTAGTTACAAAATCATGTAACTCGATCGGAAAAAGTCGTAGGAAAATTTAAAAAATGTAAAAGCAATGTTTTGTAGACAATATGTTGTATAGTTTATGAAACTTGAGAATTTTTCGACAAAAATTTTTTTATCGCGATGCACAGTGTCAAACAAAAATATGTAATTTTAAAAAACAAAACAATGTATTCTTTTTTTAAGCATAGAACGGAAAGATAAAAAAATTTTAAACCACCAATTCCGCGTTAAAGCTAAAATTTCAAGCTTTAAAATGCGTTTTTAATTTTTAATCTACGATCATCTTTCGCCGAGTTTCAGCGGTTTGAAAATAGCATAATTTTTAGGATAGGAAAATGTTCTCTATTATTTTTTAGTGCATAATAAGTAATATTTAGCGCATAATAATATTTCTTTATTGATTACCCACATTTCTATATGCATTTTGTAGTATATTTAATATCTGAGTGAAAGTATGTATTACTGAATTTACCGCATCTAATAGTTGCTGCACACAAGAACACATTATGTAGAGCTGTACTACTCCACCCGATGCGTACATAACGATTACGAGCACTTCCACTAAAGCGACTGATGGTATCTGAAGTTTCGGGAAGACACAAAGAATCATCAGGAATGGTGATATACTATAACTGATAATTCGCAATAAGATACACCAGCATTATCTAGTTGCGTCTAGCATTTTATTTATGTATAGATTAACTAATATGTCATAAATTATTACTTACTGAAACCACCATAATAGCGATGCAGCAAAAACGAAAACGCTGATAATATATATTAGACTAAAATTCAAAGATAACAGTTTTCTTAACAATAACGTTACGCTGAAATAAAATTTATATAATACTTATCATATTACATATTATAACAATAAACGGAATTAAAATATTGTATTAATAATTAAGAAATCTATCTAATTGAATATTACATACACAAGATGACATTTTAAAAATTTATCTTATTTAAGAAAATTTAATAATTTAAATGCACATTACGCGTATTAATTAAAAAACGTTATTAAAAGATTTAAATCAAAAGATTTTGATAAAAGAGTATCTGATTGTATTGACAATTTTCAGCTAAAAAAACTTACTGAATAACCGCGTGATGATGCCGACATAAAGATTTTATTTGTTCTTCTGCATTAAAATGTATTTGAGAATACTTCTTTTGATTAGAAACATTGCAACTAATCTGCGAAATTTTATCGCAAAATATCATTGAGAGCTTTGAAGCGATATATTTATATTGTGCTGTTAATAACAATATCATATTTATCATGTAGCTGTCCACACCGACTTTCTTTGTAAAAATATACATGCTGCTGATCATTACGACAAAACTTCCTAACACAAAAATGTTGGTCGAGAATGGCTCTTTGGAAAGCACGACCGGCATTCTATAATCTACGTAAAAAAAGGTATTTTTTTGAAAAATGATCGTAAATGGTACAGCACTCCATATAATAATAGCCATCACGCCGGCTGTCCAGTAAAATTTAAGGGGAATTCCTATCGGTTTTATCGTGTTCATTACTATGTTTCTCAAAATATCATCATCCACGCACAAAATATTATTCAATTTTTGGATCAATTCCTGCACCAATTCTTTACGTGCGTGAATTTGTACGACCAGGAAGACCACTTCTATTGTGACCACAATGCCAATTAGACCGTCTTTTAAAGCCTTTTCTTTCGGCACATTAAGGCACCCAGGAATTAGAATGCAAATTTGAATTATTTCGAACAACCACACTAGAAAGCTATATATTTTCCAGAATATAGAAAATGACGAATCGTCAGCAGTCAATGGTAACAAATTACCTGATACCATGTTTAACAAAACATTTAAAGAATTCACTTTTTGTATATCCATGAGTGTATTGTTTTTTTAAGTAATAAATCTTATTCTGTAAAACAAAGGCATAACAATTAAGGCTTTGATTGTGTGATTCTACTTTTTCATGTAAACGTGAACATTCTTTAAAATTTCGTTTGTGTTATGCATTAATATTAACGTATATGTTATTTTAATAATATTTATTAATTAATTAGATCAACGCGCTCGTAAAATTAATACATTTACAATATTTATTTGCAATATTCATTCTCTACAACAAAATTTTAATAAATAGGTAAAGAAAAATATATATTTTAATTTTTATAAAATTTGTTTTGCAAAAGAGTTATTATTTTTTAAATAAAAATATACATATAAACAACTTATAAATATGCACTTACTTCTATGTTTAAGATTTCAATCGATGTTTGCACTTCTCTTTCTCGAATAGGACGAACATAGTACAAACAGTATTCGAATGTCATCTCTATATCCTGAACAATTTATTATTCTTTTTGAATTTCTCACGTTTTAGATCAATGCACTGTACACTGCCATTAAGCGGAAATATACACAAAACAGAAATATGCTTTTATCATTTTAATGATCAATAATTGCTTGAATATGATTATAAAGGTCTTCTCTGAATACCTTATAAGTTAAGAAGACTTTGTGCACTAAGAGAATATAAACGTATGAATAAGAACGAATTGGAAGAGAACTATTCGCGATCATAGATGTGTACCAATACCAGAAAACTGTACTATATTCAATAAAGGAATACATGACTAAATGTGCTTGTAATTAGTACAATTCGATAAAGTAATAATTATCTTATACGGCTTAACGATTTTCACTGAATAGCAAAGTCGAAGAAACACTGAATATTATCTACAGTGTTTTGTATCGAATCATCGCTGATTATAGTAGATTTATACAGTTCTCTCTAGATATGTAACATTAAAAATTTAAATGCCGGCATTTTATATTTTACTTTTAATTTAGATAATAATAAAAAAAATTAATAAAAATAGAGGTATATTATAAATTTTATATTATAATACATATATCATAATATATCAAAATAAATATACATACAAAACATAAATTACATAAAACGATAATATTTTATTAAATATTGAAATTTTAAAAAATATAATATAAAATATAATAAGATTTCAAAAATGTTGTAATTTATGATTTTCCCTGGATTATAGAAGTGAGTATTTTAAAATGAATATAAAAGTGCAATATCAATTTAATTACATCTCTACAATTAGAGTGCTTCCAAAAAGTGATTTTTGACTATTTAATAATTATATTCTATTTCCTATTTTAATGATTATATTATGCTTACTACACACAAAAAACATAAAACAAAACATTGTTTTGATACTGACGCTCTCAGCTCCTTTTCCACTCATTGATGATCTGTTGTAAGATGATTTTTTTCTGAGAATTGTTGCTATCATTTTGTAATTAAAATTACAATTAAAATAATAGTGATAATTTTTTTATGTACCGATATTGCGCAGTTAACATCAATAGATGTTCAAGTTGTAGTATTTCCTCAAGAACAAGTAGACATCGCCTATTGTCATAATAATGATTGACGGAATTAAAACGTGGACTGAGAATGGTTTGAGGCTGAAAGCTGCTGGCAAATTGTAATCTACGTAATAAAAGATAGTTTTTTCGAAAAACAATAAATCGAATGTGTGATTCATAAAGTCACGCTTCCCACTCCATAAATTATGAAATATAGTATAATTATTGGTTTCAGTAACGGTTTCACAATATTAATGATAAAAAAGATACCTCTATTATGACGACAGAGATAATATTATTTTTCAAAACCTTCTCTTTTGAAGTTACAATTAATCCGGCGATTAATGCAATCGCGTGAATCAATTCTAGTAAACAAACGTAAATAAACGTAAATAAACGTGAATAAACATGCTTGTAATTACTATTCGATAAAATAATATCTTATATGGCTCAGCGACAAATTAGCAAATTCGAAGAAACGCTGATAATTTAATATCGTCTACAGTATATTATATCAATTGTACATTAATCTAAAATATATTAAGACAAAGTACTATTTCAATAGTATTACAGAGGTTGAATAGATTAATCTAGTTTAAAATTTTTAATTGTTTATGAATTATTTTGATATAAATTAACAATTTTTCATTCATATTTTACAAGCTACTTTCTAACGTATACTTACTGTTTATAAAATTTACACAGAACTAATCACCTTTTAATAAGTTCTTAATAGTATAAGAGCGATTGAATATGATTGGTTTAAAATCTAAAATGTTATTCGAAGATGTACAAACATATTTGAAAGTAATAATAAAAATATTAAAACATAAAAAGCAACTTATTTTATAAACTCACTGTCATAAATGAAGACAGAGATAAATTGTATCTCTTAAACGTTGAAAGTTTAAGTTCTAAGTTATTAGCCATCATCATAATTATAAATATTCGTTTTATAGATGTTCCATATCGATACCATCCTTTATGAAATGCTTTATCCGTCATTTCACTGCTCTAAATTTTAGAGGGAATGTAACAATCTATATATTATATATGTATTATAATAATGTATTCTTATTAATTTCAACTTTTCGATTGCGCCTACTCTTTTATATATGTAAAATTTATATAAGAATGTCTTACCGCATCTAGTAGTTGTTGCACACAAGAACACAGTATGTATAGCTGCACTATTCCACCGCAAGCATACAAAGTAAATACGAATTTTACATTCAAATCGCTTGATGGTATCTGAAATCACGACAAATTATGAAAATTGATGGACTATAATTAATAATTATTTGTAACGTTAAATAGCATTAAAATATATTAACAAGTATTTTTTTAGAATAATTAGTATTAGAAATGTATACTCACTGAGATCACCATAATAGCAATGCAGCAAAACCGGAAAACGCTGTTTAGATATATTATACTGAGACTTAGAGCTAACAGCTCTCTTAGCATTAATGTGACGCTAAAATAGAATATATAAATATTATAAATTATTTTATGAAGTAAATAATATTATATATAGAAACTGCTTTAAAGTATTTTATAATAAATTTATTTATAATTTAATAAAATTATTGCATTTCTCTAATCAATTTAAACTTTAAGAATAATATATATATATATATATATATATAATAAAATGAAAAGTCTGTATATATACAAAATTGTTTTAATTATGATTTTTAGCAAATAATCTTACTGAAGAACCACGTTATGATGACGACATATATATTTCATTTCCTTTTCCGCGTATAAATTTATTTCAGGACAAGGTGTCTTTTTACTAGAACTGTGATTATCATTCTGTAACCTTTCGTCTTGAAATATCATGGAGAGTTTCAACGCGATGTATTTATATTGTGCCGTGACCAACAATATCATATTTATTACGTAGCTATCCACACTGACTTTCTTCGTAAAGATGTACATGCTGCTGAACATAACAATTAGACTTCCCAATAGAAAAATACCGTTCGAGAATGGCTCTTTGGATAACACGACTGGCATTCTGTAATCCAAGTAGACGAAGGAATTTTTCTTTAAAATTAATGCAAACGGCACGGTGAACCACAGGATTAGTGAAATTATGCCAATTAGCCAATAAAATTTGAGAGGAGTCTTCATCGAATTTACCGTCGTCATCACTATGTTTGCCATTATTTTGTCCTTCACGCGCATAATATTATTCAATTTCTGAATTATTTGTTGTATTAATGCTTTACGCGAATAAATTCGCACAATTGTAAAGACTACTTCTATGGTAATTGCAATGCCAATTAGACCGTCTTTCAGAACTTTTTCTTTTGGCATAATTATGCAACCGGGAATTAAAATACACATTTGAATTATTTCGAGCAACCAAATTAAAGCACTGTATATTCTCCATACCATAGAAAATGATGAACCATCGGGAGTCATTGGTAATAGATTACCTGACAGCTTATTAAGCCAAACGTTTAAAGAATTCACGCGTTGAAAATCCATGTATGTAAATCGATGTATTATTGATATAACTTTTTTGGGTCCTATAAAATACGTGAAAACCGAATAATTAAAAAGTCAATTAATAAAGTTTAATAAAATTGATTTAGTAATTAATTCTTGTGCAAATTGTATTGGAACAAATTTATTTAAATTTATTCTTAAATTTATTTTTTCAAATTTTTAAGATTCAAAAATTTATTACAAATATTATTTACAATTTATCTTTGTTATATAAATTTATATATTTATATGTATATTATAGCAATTATAATGACAATAAATAATTTACCTATGTAAAATAAAATAATGCTTTCATATACAAAAAGTAGGAGATACTCGAACAAAAAAATATCTTTTTTTCGAGATATCATTAAGTTAATAAAATGATACTATACAATAAATAAACAAATGTGCTTATACTATTTTGCAACCACAAAATTTAAAATAATAATTATGCAATAGTATAATTTTTTTATAACTGCGTGCAATGTAACAAGTATGCATTATTATAAAAGCATTGACGTAAATCAAAATTTAATATTTCATTTTATTAGCAATTACGATCAGCAGTTACAAATAACTAATATATGTATATATGTATTAGATATATTAATTTTTTAAAATTTGTATTATTAATTGTTTATGCTTTTATATATTTATATTCTGTTTTTCAAAAGTAAGTGCTGTCTTTCTTTATTAAATTATCAGTAATTATTTGATAAGTATTTGATGAATATAAGTATATAAACAAATAGATAATATATATGCACTTACTTCTACGTTTCACGTTTCACGTTTTGCTGTCGATGTTCCTGTTCTTACTGTCGAGAAGCACAAGTAAGATATAGTATTTGAATATTATTGCTATACCTTCAACAATTTATTATTCTTTCAAATTTTCTCTTTTATCAATGCATTATTATTACGCCATCATTATATGGCAATATACACAAAACAGAAATGTGCTTTTATAACTTTAAAGATCAATAATTGCTTTATGATTACTACTTTACACAACTTTAAAGACCAATAATTGCTTTATGATCAGTACTTAAATGTCAGTAAATTATTTGTGTTAACATTAGGATTTTGAATATCTTGTAAGTTAAGAAAATTTTGTGTACTAAATGTAAGGATATAAAAAAATCGTGAAAAAAATAATAATCCGCAATTGTTGCGTAATCTTTCTGTCACAGAAAATTATACCATATACATTACAATACATAAATAAACTATAAATTGTAAACTTGCTTCTATCTATCTCATAAGTAATTATCTATCTCATATCTGTAACTATCTATTATATCTATTATATTTTGTAGACTTACAAAATCATGGAAATCAAAAAATCGCTAAAAATGTATTTATCATGTGTCTCATCGATTTTGTATTAATCTAAAATATACTATAAAACAAATTATTTCAATAAGTTATAATCTGTTTTTATATATGTCTATATAATGTCTGATATAAATTATTATCTATAATCAATTACTTAAGATCGTGTTTTATATTATAGTAAATAATTACAATTTTTATTGCTTATATAATATTTATTATTGTTTCTATTACAATAAAATCTATGTATTTTACTAGTCACTTACACTTTATAATTTATACTTGTTTTAATATATTATATTTCTCACATATCGTTTTTACTCTGAAACAGTTGCCTTACATTTTAGAAGAACGTGAAAGTAATCATAAATACTTTAACTTTTACATATATTTTATTTTTATAATAGAGAGAGAGAGAAGATCCTATACTTACTGTTTATAAAGTTTATACAGTTTACAGAGAGCTGATCATTTTTCAATTAGTTTTTAATAGTATAAGTGCAATTGAATATGATTGATTTAAAATCTAAAATATTATTTGAAAATATAACAAACATATTATAAAATACTAACAAAAAATTAGAACACAAAAATCAATTAATTTTATAAACTCACTGTCATAAATGAAGACAGAGATAAATTGTATCTTTCAAACGTTGAGAGTTTAAGTTCTAAATTATTAGCCATTATCATAAATATAAATGTCCGCTGTATAGAAGTTCCATAACGATACCACTCGCCGTGAAATGCTTGATCCGTTATTTCAGTGCTCTAAGTTTTAGAGAGAAAATAATAATCCACATATAATAATGTATTTTTGTTAATTACAACATTTTTATTGAACTAGACAACACAAGCGCACGCTTTACGCGCTTCTTTGATATTATTTCTATTGTTTATTTTACAACTTTCAAATTGTTAATTTTTGCAATGACAGTTGTTTGATGCTATGACTATAATTTTAATTTGCCGAATTACTATTATGTACATAATATTAATTCCCGAATTTTTCTAATGTATATAATTTTAATTTATTGATTTTGTTTAGTTTAATCAAATATAATTACGTGCGCGAAGCGAAGTTATATTATTCTTCGATAATAAAACCTTATAAATTGCAACGCATGTATAAAATTATTATTGCAATGCATGTATAGAAATATATTTATTAATTACGTGATTCATAAAAACTTAATATTTAAATTTTTAACAGAAAAAAAACAATTTTCTACAAGAATCTTTTGATCAAAATATTTGTGCTTATCCATTAGATTCGCACATCTGTACACGTCCGCTACACTGCACGGCTCTGCACGCTGCACGACGAAAGCAATTTTCTCTTTCTATTCTTTCCATCAGATTAATACACCCCATACATCCATCACGTTGCGCGGCTCGCGCAAGACTGATTTTCGCGCGGGGTATCGTGAGCGCGGGCCCGATGGTCACGTGACCACTGGTCATGTGACCATTGGTCACGTGACTACTGGTCATGTGACCAGCGGGCCCGCGCTCGAGATACCCCGTGCGAAAATCAGTCTCGCGCGCACCGCGCAACGTGATGGATGTATGAGGTATAGAGTTTCGCGCGAGTCTAATGAAAGCGTAGATGTTTAATCACAAAAGATTTTGATAGAAAACTATTTCTTCGTTCGTATTTTCTGTAAAAGATTTAAATATTGAATTTTTATGCGTTGCATAATTAATTAATATATTTTTACCAGACCATAAGCACGCACGTTATTGATATTATTTTTATTTTGCATTTTACAATTGTCAAACTATTAACCTTTACGATGACAGTTGTCTGATGTTATTAATATAACACATAGGCTGCGTTTGCTTTGACGCTTTCAGCGCTATAAGCATCGTTTGTCTTTGTTGCACATTGAATATCAAACAAAGATGCTTATAGCGCTGAAAGCGTCCAAAACGAATGCAGCCATAATATTAATCGAAACAACCAATCAACATTGCGGATAAACAGCAACAAAATTTGCGATACTCGACTTTGCATACCTTTTTTTAGAAAGAGATACTCTTTTGTACGTAAAATTCATATAAGAATTTGTCTTATAAAACTTACCGCATCTAATAACTGTTGCACACATGAACACAGTATGTACAGCTGCACTACTCCACCGGAAGCATACATAATAAATACGGCTTTTTCATTTAAATCGCTTGAAGGTATCTGAAATTACATACAGGCACGAAAAATTATGACCAGTAGTAGACTATAATTAATAACTATTTATAACGTAAAATGGTATACAAATTTATTAGAAAATATTTTTTGATAATAATTAATATTAGAGATTTATACTCACTGAGATCACCATAATAGCAATGCAGCAAAACCGGAAAACACTGTTTAGATATGTTATACTGAGACTCATAGCTAACAATTCTTGTAGCATTAATGTGATGCTTAAAATAAAATATACAAATAATTATTATATTAAATATACATATAATTATTAGATTGTTTTATTAAATAAATAATATTATATAGGCAAACTGTCATAAAGTATTTTGTATTAAACTTATTTATAATTTAATGACACGTATTACGTTTTTTCTAATTAATTTAAAAATAAATTTAAAACTGTAAATTTGTAGATTAAACTGATCTATATATATAAAACCAAAAGTCTTTGATACAAATAAAATTTTTGCTAATTTCTATTAATAATGTTTGCAAATAATCTTACTGAAGAATCGCGTTATGATGATGACATATAGATTTTATCTCTTTTTCTGCGTAAAAATTTATTTCAGAATAATGTTGCTTTTTATTAGAACTGCTGTAATTATTCTGCAACCTTTCGTTTCGAAATATCATAGAGAGTTTTAATGCAATGTATTTATATTGTGCAGTAATCAATAATATCATATTTATTACGTAGCTATCCACACTGACTTTCTTCGTAAATATGTACATGCTGCTAAGCATGACAATGAGACTTCCCAATAAAAAAATACCGGTCGAGAATGGTTCCTTGGATAATACAATTGGCATTCTGTAATCCATGTACACGAAGGAATTTTTTTTAAAAATTAACATAAATGGTTCGGTAAACCACATGATTAAAGATACTATGCCAGCTATCCAATAAAATTTGAAAAGCATTTCCATCGGTTTCCGTGTCGCTATCACCATATTTTTCATTATTTCATCTTTTATGCACATGATATTATTCAGTTTCTGAATCAATCGTCGCACTAATGCCTTACGCGAATAAATTCTAACGGTTGTGAAGACTACTTCTATGGTAATCGCAATACCAATTAGACCATCTTTCAGAGCTTTTTCTTTCGGCACGATTATGCAACCGGGAATTAAAACACACATTTGAATTATTTCGAGTAACCAAATTGAAGCGCCATATATTCTCCATAGTATGGGAAATGATGAACCGTCATCAGTCATTGGTAACAAATTTCCTGAGACCATGTTCAATCGAACATTTAAGGGATTCACGTTTTGAAAATTCATATGTTATTGATGTACGATATCGTTTTTCTGGCAAATAGGGATCTTCCTATAAAACGGAATATATAAAAACCGAATAATCGAAATAAAAATGTTAAATAATAAAGTATGATAGAATTATCCTATTGATTCTAATAATTTATTTTCCTGCAATTTATATCTATTTAAGATATTTCTTAAACTGATTCTTAAGTATTTATTTTTCCATATTTTTAGAATTTGACTAATATTAATTTGGAAATGTATTTCTTTACTTTCAACAACAAATTTAACTTTAATTTAGTAATATTTACTCACAACAGTCAATGATTTACAATTAATGTTATTGACAAACTAATCTTCTCAACTTTTATTAATAATGTTTTATTTAAAGTAAATGTTTTTTAAAAAATTAAGAGCTTTATTAGTTAGTATTAGCAAAAATGTACTTTTCTTCTCGAAAGTTTGGATAAACTAATAAATTTTAGTGCTTTAGATATAAAGAAACTTTACTGTAGATCTTTACATTCACCGTTGTCTCCAATATTATTTCCCCATTAAAATGCGTTCTTCAGTTTTCCATTAATATATTATGCCGTTGTAGGGCAACCAGCAATATTCCCTTTTCATTGTTGCATTTGGCGTTTGTCTTCTAAGCACACCAATTTTCATTAACAATTTAGTAAATTTCTCAGACATAATTTTGAAAGATATTCATTGTGCTATCAACTATAAAATCTAAATATATCTCGATAATAAAAGACACTATGTACTGATGTACTATTCAATGTCATTTAACTTAAAGCTGAATACAATTTTATGATCTTTCCTTGTAATTTAATACTAAGCTACATATCAGTCATTCTTATTGCATGCATTACTTATTGCAGAAGTTCATAAAATCTAAAGAACAGCCGCAGTATTTGACAATATTTTGGCGGGCGTATCATTAATGGAAAACAGTGATATATATGATGGATTTATTCATCATTAGAATTCGATTAAATGTACAATAGTGGTAAATATTTAGAAAGAATTTCACATATATCCGTGGATAACAAATTAATTCTATAAATAACTTTTGAAAAACTTGATAAATAACTCTTCGTAAATAACTCTTGAAAAACTTGTAAATTATTGGAATCTAACTAAAAATAAAAATGAATGATATATATTATAATAATTAAGAATTTAACAAGGCTCTGTAATATAAATATATATATATAAATTGAGTGTTAAACAGGCAATAAGAGCCACATCGCAGATGACAGTGCGTTATCCCATACAAAACTAAATTTTTCGTTAAGATTAAAACCTGTGCACAAGGCACTAAATTTTTTACTTGGACACGGCCAAGATATAAAATTGAAATAATCTCTACAAGAGATTTAATTCCATACATTCCCTGTTCCCCCTTAAGGAAATAAATGCGAGAGAAAAATATAGATCCGAAAGTCGCTGAATCGGGAAATTTAGTGCCTTGTGCACAGGTTTTAATCCTAACGAAAAAAATTTAGTTTTGTATGGGATAACGCACTGTCATCCGCGATGTGGCTCTTATTGCCTGTTTAACACTCAATTTATATATATATTTATATTATAATAATATGTTTATTGCAATTATACAAGAATATTATATACGTATTGCATTATTTCACCGAAAACATATATGATAATAAAACATTATTTTAACAAAGCCGTTGATGATAAACAACTAAAGTATGATAAAAAAATTTTATAATATATTTAGAAGGTAATATATATTTATATCGAAATTTGAAGTTTCTCACAATCACTCACTCTGATCCATTTATTATTTCAATTGAATTTTATTTTAATAAATAATAATCTAAAAAGATTTTTATTATATTACTATTGTAGAATAAATAAAATTAAACATTAGATACATATTCTTAATCTTTTTTACATATTTTTTTATATTTCTATATTTTGTTAATATATATTACTTTTTTGTAAGATAATTTATAATTCAAGAAAATAATAAAAATAATAACGTAATAAAAGGTATATAGTAATAAAAATATTAAAAAATATAATAAAGTAATAAAAAATAATTACGTTAATAATTTTGCAAATATTTTGATATACCTATGACATATGAAATAAATTTTATATATGTAAATATCTTGTCATAAATGATTGCTATTTTTATTGTTTTTTGTGCTATAGCCACACATATACAAGATTCAATTGTAATATTAATACTAATATATTATTTTAATCAACTACTTTTTAACAGATTTTTTTTCAGGTATCTTGCTGAAATATAAAATATTTTAACAATATAACTAAATTGATCATTTTATTATTAAAAACAAAGAAAAATATTCCTACTAAATATATATTAAGAAAATAAACAATTACTACAGATAAAATTTTTCTTTGCTTTTTATTTAATTTTTTGGAATAGAAGAGAGATCGAATACGCTTGATTTAAAATCTGAAAAAGAAACAAATAATTTGTAAAAATAAACGAAATATAATATTACATTAAAATATAATATAAAAAAATGAAGAAAAGATCTTACCACCATAAATGAAGGTAGAGAAAGATTAAAATTTTCAAACGTTGCAAGTTTGCATTCTAAATTATTCGCCATAATTATTAAAATAAATATACGTTTTATCGATGGTTTGAGTAAATACCAATCTTCGTGAAATGCCTTGTCCGTTATTGCTGTACTCTATATTTAACAAAAGAAAAGTAATTTATGTGAAAATAATTGTTAATCACAATCTATTATTTGCAAAGTTAATAATTATTTTGTCTAACTTTCTTAAATTCAAAAATTATTTTATATTATAGTGATTTTTATAAAAAAGAATATTGAATACATTGTAATAGATTTGTTTATGACAAATACATAATAGAAAAAAAAATTTGTATATTACATCAATTGAATAAAAAAATATATTAAAATAAAATTTACCGCGTCTAATAATTGTTGCACACAAGAACATAAGATAAAAAGTTGTACCACTGCTCCTGAAGTGTACATAATGATTGAAAGTCCTTCCCAGAACGTTGTCGATGGTACCTGAAATTTTATAAAGACGTCATAAGTAATAAATATTCATCACAATTCAATAGCAATTTTTTTTTATAATATATGAAAAAAATATTACTCACCATGCTCACCATGATACCAAGGCAGCAAAATCGAAAGACACTGTTCATGTATATTAAACTAAAGTTCAAAGATAGCAATTCTTTTAGCAGTGCAGTTATACTAAAAGAAAACGCATAATATATCTGTAAAACATTACGAAATAATGCACTAAAAATTAAATGTAAAATAAACTTATAATGAACTATAAAATTAATTTATAAATATCACATACAGAAAGTTTGAAGCAGCAACTCATTTACATAAGTACTAATTTATAATATTATCCTTACTATTATTATGTTACCAATTTATAATCTTATTCTTACTATTATTGTGTTATAATTATAAGGCTAGGAAAATTGTTAATTTAATTTTACTTACTGAATTACAGTGTTGTGATGTTGACATAATATTTTAATTTCCTTTTCTTTGCTTTGATCTGATCTAGAAGAATGTTCTTTGTTATTTTCAATTTTTTCTTGAAATATCATCGCAATTTTCACCGCAATATATCGATACTGTGCCGTTGTCATCAACACCAAATGCACCATGTATACATCCACACCGACTTTCTTTAAAAACATATATACGGCGCTGAATATTAGAAACAAACTTCCCAGCAGAAACATGTCGAGTGAGAATGGCTGCTTCGAGAAAGCGGCAGGTATTCTATAATCTTCGTAATAGAAGATATTCTTCTCGAATACTAATACAAGCGGCATAGAAGCCCAAGCTATTATCGCAGCTACGCCGGCCAACCAGTAGAAGTTGAGCGGAGTTTCCACCGGCTTCAAAGTCGCGATCACCACACTCTTCATGGTCTCGTCAGCAGTGTGCAAAATGTCATTCAACTTTTGAATCAATTGATAAACCACATCTTTACAAATATAAATTCGCGCGATCAAGAAGGACATTTCTACGAAGATTGCAATGCAAATCATGCCGTCCTTTAGAAATTTCTCCGTCGATACGAACATGCATCCTGGAATTAATGCGGCACCTATGATAAACTCAAGCAGCCACACGAAGATCCCATACATTTTCCAGAATAAGGGATAAGATGAATCATAGCTGGTCATGGGCAATAAATTGCCCGAGAATAAGTTCAGTCGAATATTTAAAGGATTCACGCTCTGGAAGTCCATGGCTCATTCAAAATCATCAATCAAGAATTTAGATATTATTTCTCTGCATTTATATTTATTCCGCTTTCCGCGTCACATACTGCTGTGTCGTGCGTATATGTCTTTCTTTTGTACTTAAATAAATGATTGTGCATGACTTTTCTCTCGAATTTCTATTTGATATCTTTATACTGTCAAACGACGAATGATGACATTTCGATTTCTTTATTATTAGTTATCAAAGTTTATTCTATAATTATGCATTTGAATATTAATAAATGTAAGTGAGATTTTCCAGACGTTTTGAATGAAGAAATTCAGTCTTTTATTATATGAAATTCTAGAAATTGACCAAATAAGTGACTACTGCAGAAATGATGACGAAGTATAGATTTTATTTCGTTTATTACAGAGTTGAGTAGAATCATCAATTTTCTTGTATTAACATAGAGCAATGATTATCTTATAGTTTTATTTGCTGTATGTACATGCATTTTATAGAATTTTATTCACTGTACTATATTGCGGGATTATGAAGAGCTGCAGTATCAAGTATTATTTAACGCGTGTTTCAACGACGAAGAACGAAATAATTTTTAACGTAAGCTTTTCTTAACAATATATTTTCTGTGTTATAATTATATTCTTTAAATTTTTTTGATTTATAATCTGTTGCTCATTATAATAAAAATTTCTTGAATTAAAATTTATACATTATTTACAAATGAATTGAGGCTTTATTTCCTTAAATTTTTTGATCTAATAGATCGCTTTTTGATTGACAACTCTTTTATAGAAACTATTTACGAAATTACTTTACATGTTTTCACAAGTTTTTTTCACAATATCACAATACAAGGCTAGTACCGTTTTTTTTACCATTCTTATATTATAATATAATTACGATTTATATACAATATAAATATCACACACTGAGTTATTTCTGTTCTCAATTATGGTCGAAATTTTTTGAATACCTGTTATGTAGACACAATACACAAAAAATTAAAATTTATTTAATTAGGAAGAAAACATCTGTTTATTAATTAACAAATAGTACAGTTTTAAAAGTGGTTACTAAATAAATATTAAATATTAACATTTTTAATTAAAAATTAATGTAGATAAATATTTTTTATGTTTAAATATCTCTTATCTTCTGTTCTAAAATAAAATATAAATATGTTATATATTATACTTTTAGCAATAAAATAAAACATAATTATATAATAATTATTTTGTTGTGTATTCAGTGAGAAATGATTGGTCGAATCGTCATCGATTCGACATCAATTCGACGAATTTGACATCGATTCGACAACGAATCAACGTCGATTCAATCATCATTTCTCACTGGGTAACATATACAATTATAAAATAATTTGTATAAAAAATTATTGATTAATTTATATAATAATTACAATATAATAAAATTATATAAAATTTATTATATAATATATAAGTTATAAAAATATAGTTATAATATAAAAATATTTAAAATATACACACGTACCTGTATAAATCTTTATTTTACTCTTAAAATCAAAAGAGCAAACGAGTATGATTGATTTAAAATCTAAAGAGACGTGAAAAAGAAGTTAAAGCAGTATAATAACTTTTGTAACAGAATTAAAACTAATCATTATAAAATTAATAGAAATAATTAAAAACCGCAATTATGCTCATATACGTATATATAATTTACATGTTCATAAAATATATTTTAAATCTTACTGTCATGAAAGAAGGAAGTGTCAAATTAAAATTTTCAAATGTCGAAAGTTTACACCCTAAATTGTTGGATATTATCATCATCATAAATATATATTTCAATGATGGTTTAACTTGGTACCACTCTTCATGAAATGCTTTATCCGTTATTTCTGTACTCTAGATTTGAATCAAAAGGACGATACATGTGAAACAGAATGACAAAAAAATTTAGTTATCAAGATATTATTTTCTCATTATGACTATGCATATTATCGATATTTTCTATTTTTAATTCTTAGATATAAAACATAGCTTTTCTTTTTTATTATAATCATCATTATTTTAATTACTAAATGTTATTTGGCTACTTTTTTGTTACAAAAATATAATATAATTTAATAATATTTTAAAGTTTACCGCATCTAATAATTGGTGAACGCACAAACATAGAATATAAAGCTGTACTAAGCCACCAGATATGTACATAATGACCATGACTGCTTCTAGGGGAGCCTTTGATAATATCTAAATTTAACACATTAATTGTTAATATATATGTCAATATTATTTTATATATTTTTTTTATTAAAACATTTATAATAATTTTTACTAACGTTGAACAATTTTTGTTTTCAATTATTTAGAAAGCATTTTTTTAGGATAATTAATGATTATAAATTATTATACTTACTGCATTTATGAGCATAAAGTCAAGAAAGCAAAAAAGAAAAATATTCGTCAAATATAATAAACTCATGTTCACAGACAATACTTTCTTTAACATTAAAGTCATTCTGAAAAAATAAATGATTATATTTTTAAAGTCATATAACGGCACATAAATGAGTTGTATAATTATAGATATATTCATCTATATCGAATATTAAATCAATACTCTTCTCAGTAGTAATATGAATCAAGAAATAATGCTTCAAAAAGTATAATAATTTGTAGAGAAAAACAAGTTAACAAATGCTAGTACTTACTGAACCACAACGTTATGATGTCGACATAATGTTTGTAATTCTTTCTCCAATGAATTTATAATAAAATTATTTTTTTCTTTAGACTTATTCTGTGAAGTATCTTCACGAAATAGCGCTGCAAGTTTCACCGCAATGTAGCGATATTGCGCTGTCATCAGTAAAACGAGATTTATCATATAAACGTCCAAAGCAACCTTCTTCATAAACATATATACGCTGGCGACGGACGCGATAAAGTTTCCCAATAGAAAAATTTCTATTGAGAACGGCTGTCTCGAAAGAACCATCGGTAGTCTATAATCCTCATAGAGAAAAAGTCTCTTTTTGAAGGCCAACGCAAGAGGTACGCAGCACCATATTATTATGGATCCAATTCCTGTTATGCAGTAAAATTTAAGCGGAGTCTGTACCGGCTTCAAAGTTGATCTCACGATGATCTTCATGATCTCGTCCTCCGCGCACAAAATTTCATTTAGTTTACTTATTATTTGACTCACAAGCTGCCTGTGCACGTACATTCGTCTTAGCAAGAAAAACACTTCTATAGTGACGACGAGACCAACCGTTGAATCTTGCAGAGCTTTATCTTTGGGCACGAACATGATACCAGGAATTATTGCGCTGGTTTGGATCACTTCAATCAGCCATATAACAGCGCTATATATCCTCCACGCTGTAGGAAACAGCAAATCGTTGCTAGTCATCGGTAATAAATTGCCTGAGAGCATGTTTAATTGAACGTTTAGGGGATTTACGTTTTGAAAGTCCATGTTGCTTCTTCGTGATAAATACTAAGTGAACACTGCACAAAATACAGTCTGCTAAAATCGTCTTCAATATTTCTCTGTATGTTACGCGTGTAATATACTGAAGATTGTTATTTTAAAATGTATCTATAACTGAATAAAATATTTAGGCAACAATTTTATTTTTAATATACATATAGGTATGTATATATTTTTATTTACATCCGTTTGATCTTTCCATATCATTACAATCTCTTGTCGGAAGAATATATAGGATAGCAAAAGTTGATCGTAAGTGATCGTCGATTTTTTGAACAATATCTTATTTTCCTTGAATTTTTATTATTCGTATAGCTTGCACTATAATATACATTACTATAAAACAAGCATAGCAAAATTATTTCCCATTTGCAAACATTATTTTCTTCTGTACTAATCATAGTACAGATGTACATAATAAATTTATTTTTATTGATAGAAAGTTTCCGCTTATAGACTCTATTGTAAAGAAATAAAAGAATTTATAAATAATTTTTTCTATACAACTTGACTGGTTTATTATATGCCATGATTCGCTTCATTTTATTTCCGAAGGGGATGTGAGAGCTATAAGGGCCTTGTAATTATCTTTGTGCTATAAAAGCAGCAATTATCTTATAGTACTGCATTCTTCGTTGTAGTCTCGAAGACACTTCAGAGGAAACTGCAATATCTAATGTATTGTATCTGATGCGCGTTTGATCGAAATATTGAAAATTAATCTTCTCGACCGGTTACACCTTGAATTCAAAAGTACTAAGATTATTAAATAATTTTTTGAAAAAATTTATATATTTTTTATACATGTGTGCATATTTATTATTTTAAATATTTATATATTAAAGTATTTTAAAATATGCTTGTTTATAGACCAATCAACAACTGCAATAAATTTGTTCCATTATTAATATAGATGTCGTAGAAAGAAATTATAAACATGTAAAATTTTTCACTATTTTAACAATATTATTTTATCGAATTATTCTTACTATTAATTCTTTGCAATATTTATTTGTTGTAAAAATTTTTATTAGCAAATTATTAAATAAATACATATATGTAATTTAAAATTTATTTATTGTATTTTTTTATTTAATTTACAGTAATAAATTTGACCAAAATATAAATCATATTAAATTTCAGACATACCTATTACACATTATTTTCAACAACTAAAATGTAATCATACGCACGGCAGAAAATGTCATTTATCTTCTGGATCACTTGCTGGATCATCATTCTCTTTCATAGTGACCATAACGACGATAATGCTGTTCTTCAACGTTTTCTTCTTTTGATATCAGGATAAGTTCAGGTATAGATCATTTTAAATAGCAATACAATACAACAGTAGACGAATATTTACCATGTCGGAAACTTCACTGAATACCATTGATATTAAATAAAATAAAAGTATGCTTCCCTGATTATGTAGATGATTTACATTTTAAAAGTTTATGTTATTAATATCTTTTGCTCGGCAAATTGAATTTATGGTACAGTTTACAAAAGTCGATGATTGCATCCGTATTAATGCCTGTCTACTGTTTTGCTATTATTAAAGATTTTTAATTATACTATATAACACAAGCGCGCGCTTTTAATATTATTTCTATTATTTAAGTATTTTACAAGTGTCAAATTGTTAATCTTCGCGATGACAGTTGCTTGAGGCTATATGAATGTGATCATAATTTTAGTTTGCCGCTATATGTATATCTCATTTCATTATATATATTTTTTTTTATTTTGCTTAGTTTGATCGAATATATAATTATGTGCGCGAAGCGAAATTATATTATTCTTTGATAATAAAATCTTAAAAATTGCAACGCATGTATAAAATTATTATTGCAGTGCATGCATAGAAATATACATCCTTTCAGGGATAAAGGGGAGAAACTTTGAAATTAATATCTCAAGTAAGAAATTGTCCTAAATAAGTCTTAGCAATGTGCTAAGCCTATTTCGTGCTTCGTGCACAATTATTAGACGGCGAAAAAAATTTTTAATTTTCGCGATCTCTATGCATATACATCTGCGGTCGGCTTTCATAGCCTTTCTAATTTTCAAAGTTATTTATTAATATAGAGAGCTTTTCTTTAGTATTAATATTTATTATATTTTTTATAAAAATGAATATGTGTGTGACAATAAAAAAAATTCTTTATAATTAAGTTTAATCTATAAAGCAATAATTATATTATAAGCATTCCACTGTTTGTTACAGAGTCGTGAATTTGAAGCTAAAACTTGTAATATTTGAATAATTATTATAATTGTATCTAATGTACGTTTTATCAAAAAACTAAAAACTAAAATTTGAGATAATTTAATGTGCTGAAATATTACAGTGTTCCAAAGGACATCAATTTTACAGATCAATGACTAAAGTAATCTGCCTTATCTATTGTCAGATTTTACAGAAGAAAAGGTAGACATGTACAGTATATATATTATATATATAAATATTTTTGTATATAATTATAATTAACATTACACATATATTTATACTTTCTTCAGTGAAGAGAATAAGTATTTTAAATATTACAAACATAACAAATTATCTTTAAGTAAAATTCATTTCTTTTCAAACTTAAGAAATAATTTTAAAAAAGTTAATAGAAGACAAAAAAAAAAGTTTAATTCTGTTTTCAATACTATAGTGTCACATTCTAAATATTTTAAAACATTATGTTCGTTATATTTATTTTCTCTGAATAATTATACAAATTATATTTATGTGCAGATTTTTTTTTAATGATTTTTATTAATTTCTTTTTTTTTATTATTATCTTTTATTTTATCTTCTATTTACGATATTTAAACATATGCAATGTACCTTTTCAATTTGCTTTTAAAAATAAAAGAGCGACCGAATATGATTGATTCATGATCTAGAATATTTTTTGAAAAAATATAACATATAAAAAGGATTAAAATACTGATAATTTTATGTCATGTATAAGTAATAAACACATATGTTAAAACTTACCGTCATAAATGAAGGCAGGGACAGATTGAATTTGTCAATTGCTGCAATTTTACAATCTAGATTGTTAGCCATTATCAGTAATATGAATGTACGTTTCATTGATGGTCCAAATTGATACCACGCTTCATCAAACGCTTTATCCGTCACTTCGACACTCTGTATATTAGGTTTAAAAAATAATATAACAATGAAAACAAAAGAAAAGCTTAATAAACATATGTCGTTTTTTATTTAATTTCTCAATATTTATATCTTAATTAATAAAGTAATGTTTATGAATAAGCAAGTATGTGCACGCAAGTGCACATGTAAATTATTATTTTTTATTTTTAATTTATATTCTTTATTATGTTGATTAAAAACTTCTTAAATAAATAAATATATAAAAAATCTGCATTTAATTAATATGCATAATATTTAAAAGATTATATTATTCTTGATATTAAATTATCATTGCTTATAGAAAAAAAATAATTTTAATTATATAAAGCATAGTCTTACCGCGTCTGATAATGTTTGTACGGAAGAACATAACAAAAAGAATTGTGTTATTGAACCCATTGTAAACGATAGAACCGAAATTGCTTCCATGAGTGTCATATATGGCACCTAAAAATTTGATAAATACTTTTTATTAAAAATTAAAATAAAGACTATATATATATATACATATATGTAGAAGCAAAATTCACATTTCTCCATTTTCGAATTGAAAAAGATTGTCTGTATCGAGTTAAATCAATTATTTAAATTTTTTGCACTTAATTAAAATAGATATTAATATTGTAAATATATAGTTGAATAGAATCTATTAAGAAAAACAATTGTCTATTCTTTATTCTCTTTGAGATTTGTTATAATGATTGTTATCGATACTTACTGAACTCATTAAAATACCTATAAAGCAAAACCGAAAAACGCTGTTGATATATAATAGACTGAAGTTCACTGATAGAAGTTTCCTTAACAAAAATGATATGCTAAAACACAACGTAGAATAATAATAAAAATGTATAAAATATATAACAATAATAAATTGATATTCTATTACAATTTATGAAAAAATATACATGAAATCACATTATAGGTTTGAGTAATGTTGCGATTTATGTTTTTACAAATATTTTAAAAGCATAAAGTTATTTAATTACAATTTTATAATTAAAATGTCAGAAGAGAAAATACTTTTCTATTATACTTACTGCAAAACAGTATTTTGATGTCGACATAATGCTTTCAATTTTTTTTCTGTTATAGAATGATGTTCTTTTCGAGTCTTGTCACGATTGTCTTGTGAATCACGAAATAATAATGATAACTTTACTGCCATGTATCGATATTGTGCGGTTAACATCAACACCAGATGCATCATGTATATGTCCACGCTGTATTTCTTCAAAAAGCTGTATAGACTGGCAATTGTCATGAAGATAGTTGTCCAAATCAAGACGCCGATTGAGAATGGCTCAGCGGTGAAAGCGCATGGTAAATTGTAATCTACGTAGAGAAAAGTAGTCTTTTCGAGAATTAATAAAATTGGTGTCAATGTCCATGTGGCAATAGATAGCACGCCAACTGCTCCATAAATTGTAAACGGCGTTATTATTGGTTTCAGAGTTGCCTTCACAATATTTTCCATGATCTCGTCCGCAGTTTGTAGAATGTCATTCATCTTCTGGATCAGTTGTGCCAATTCTTTTCTCTGTACGTAAATACGCGTAAACAAGAAGCACGACTCGATGATTACAACTACGGCGACAGTACCGTCTTTCAAAGCCTTTTCTTTTGGCGTCACAATTATTCCGGCGAGCAATGCGATCGTATAAATCAGCTGCATTAACCACACAACGGCGCTATGTATACGCCACAGTATTGGAAATTGCGAGCCATCACCTGCTACCAGTAAAAGATTCCCCGAGAGCATGTTTGCTCGATTGTTTAAAGTATTCACATTTTGAAAATTCAGTCTTTTCATATTGTATTATTCGCGATGAATTTAAACTGCGTTTGAAAACTTAGCGTAGAAGAATTAAGACTTTGTACTCGCATTAATTCCCGTTCTATACTGTCGCGTATGCTTCTTTCTATATAAGTGCAAATGAATGACACATCAGTATTTCTAAATTATCTAAGTGCACTCAGTAATTAACGATTCTCTTTGAGATTTTGTTTTGCTCCGCCGTTATTAATATTTAATACACATACGACGAACATTTCTCTTCTTTTGTGGTATTACTTAGTTTGAAATCTCATACTGTGTAGACAAATTTAGAATTTAATTGTTCTTCAAGGCATGTTTCGAGTGAATAAGTAATAAATGAAAGGTTCTTTGTCTTATTATAAGAAAATATCGTAGTTTATAATTAAATGTCGCGATATACAAAGAGTGATAATTCATTAAATGCAGCTATATGCCTTTCCGTTTGCTAGGAATATATGAGAATAATTAAGTTCTTCTTTGTACTACTACCTTACATTGTGCTGTGGCAATTATCTTATGGCAGTCTCTGTCGAAAATTCTGTAGTACTGGCAGAGCTGTCAAAATTTAGAGTCGTGGAATATTATTTGGCGAGTTTTTCTGGCGCGTACAATTGTGTCAACTAAAATATATAACTTAATTTGCAAAAAAATTAAGCAAATACTGCGGACACAAACAAACTAGCAAATGTTTTGTAAGCCTTATTCAAGGATTAATTAATAAAGTATATTTTCCATGTAAATTGATCTTCACAGTAAGTTTTTTCTGTTAATTTATGAATAACATAAAAGTCAAATCGCGAAATTAGTGAACGTTTACTTATTACTTTCTGAATTATTGCGATTTAACATCGTAATATGTCGCTTTCAATTTACATTTAAATTTACATTAAAATAACATTTTTTGAGGTTTGTCGGTGCAGTTACTTTTATAAAATATTGTAGCAAATTTTATTATAGAGTTTAATGTTGTTTATACTATATTGTTAGTAATAAAGTTTACCATACAGACATTAAAAATAGTCTTCTTTATAAATATATACTCGCTACTGGATAATGGAATCCATAAGGTTTTTTATTGTCTACGCAAGGATTTCTATCTAGAATGACTGTTTTAAATAGGCTAATGTAACTTTAAAAACGTGCTGCTTTCAGGTCAATTGCATGTAATAATACTATAATAATATTATTCTCAATGCTGTATGAAACAGCGAATCATCGCTGATCATCAAAGCAGAGTTATATAGCTTCCTAAATATGTAAAAAATTTATATGTGCTATAATATATTATATTTTACTTCCAATTTACAAAATAATAAGGAAAAAATAAAAATCTAAGCAATAAACATAGATAATGTATTGGAATTTACCGTCATAAATGAAGGCAATGACAAATTGAATTTTTCAATCGCCGCAATTTTACACTCTAAATTATTAGCCAGAATTAGTAACAGAAATATATGTTTCATTGGTGGTTGAAGTTGATTAAATGTCTATACATTAAGTTTCTACATTTTTATAAATTATGTTTGTTATATTTATATGTCTTAAATTATTATATAAAACAGATGCATCTATCGCTACAAATTTTTTTCAAATATTTTTTCTAATTTTTTTTTGTCTTTATAATTTGTTCTCTATTCTATTTTCTCTACCTATTACAAGTATATAATATATCCATTGTTTTATTTTGCTCTTAAGAACAAAAGAGCAATAGAGTATGATTGATTCATGATCTGAAAATATTATCATAAAAATGATATAACAAACTTGAAAAGCAATAAACATAGATAATGTATTGGAATTTACCGTCATAAATGAAGGCAATGACAAATTGAATTTTTCAACCGCCGCAATTTTACACTCTAAATTATTAGCCAGTATTAGTAACAGAAATATACGTTTCATTGGTGGTTGAAGTTGATGCCAGGCTTCATCAAACGCTTTATCTGTCACTTCGGTACTCTATATTTAATACAAAGAAATGATATAAAAATAGGGAGAAACTTTTTAATTATACATTATATTTTTAATTTAATTGTTTATTATAAATTGGATTAGCACAAAAATTAATTTTTTCCCTAATTACCTTATAGACAGTATAAACATTATTTTTATATATTTCATTATATTTTTTATATTTTTTATTTTCGAAATGTTGAATGTTGATGTAAAACACAAAATAAATCTTACTGCGTCTGATAATGTCTGGACAGAAGAACACAACAGAAAGAATTGCATCACTGAACCAGCTGCAAATGATAAAATCGAAATTCCTTCCATAAATGTTAGAGATGGTATCTAAAGATTGATAAACATATTTTGTTAGAAATTGAAAATGAAAAAAAAAATAAAATTGTATAAATTCTCACTTTCTTTTAAGTAAAAAATTTGTTGTCTATACAAAGTTATATAAATAAATTTATACTATTTTTTTATTTTTAAATTAAATTATAAATGTGAAATATTTTTTTTGTTTGTCACACTTTTATTTTAAAACTCATAAAAAATAAATTAAAAAAGTTCCTTGATTTTAATTTAGTTTAAAAAAAGCTAAGAAATATATTTTTTTTCTATATATTTACGCAGTTTAAAAAATAATTGTTCAAAATAAATTTTAATTGAAAAAGAAAATAAAATCTTACAAGATAATTTTTTAATGTAGATAAAAATTATTAGTAAATATTCTAAATTTTATTAATGTTTGTTATTGTTACTTACTGTGCTCATTAGAATACCTAAAAAGCAGAAACGAAAAACACTATTTAAATATAGTAAGCTGAAGTTCATAGACAGAAGTTTTCTTAACATAATTGATATTCTGTAATACAAAATATATAAATAGAACATATTGTATCGTATAAAATATTGTATCATGTAATTTATATATATACACAAAATATAAATTATATAAAACAATAAATTAATATTTTATCAAACATTAAAATTTGTAAAAAATGATAGATAAAATATATATAAGATTTCAATAATAATGCGATAATTTATAATTTGTTTCAAGATTTTAAAAGTGAATGTATAAAAGCACAATTATTTAATTACAACTTTATAATTAGCATCCCAAAAAACTTTTGCATTTTTATTATTTAATAATTCTATTTTATTTTCCATTTTAATAATTATATTATGCTTACTGCAAAACATTATTTTGATGCCGACATAACGCTATCAACTCCTTCTCCACCCATTGATCTGTCACAAGATGACTTTTTTTCAAAGAGTTGTTGCCATCGTTTTGCAAATATTGAAATAATAATGACAATTGTTTTGCTGTGTATCGATATTGTGCAGTTAACATCAACACCAGATGCATCATGTACACGTCCAAGCTGTATTTCCTCAGGAACAAGTAGACGCCGCCCATTGTCATAATGATGGTTGATGGAATTAAAACGCCGACTGAGAACGGTTCGGGGCTGAAAGCTGCTGGCAAATTGTAATCCACGTAGTAAAAGGTAGACTTCTCGAAAATCAATACAATCGGATGTATGTGCCATATCGTGACCGATATCACACTTGCCACTCCATAAATTATGAATGGCATAATTATTGGTTTCAGTGATGTTTTCACAATATCTTCCATCATCTCATCCGCTGTTCGTAGGATGGCGTTCATTTTTTGAATCACTTGCATTGTTAATTTTTGGCGCACGTAAATATTCGCGAGCAAAAAAGATGCTTCTATTATGACGACGACAGAGATAATACCGTCTTTCAAAGCCTTCTCTTTTGGAGTTACAATTATTCCGGCGGTTAATGCGGCCGCGTGAATCAGTTCTATTGACCAAACAACAGCTCTGTATATACGCCAGAATAGCGAAAATGAATTATCATCTGTCATCGGTAACAGATTCCCTGAGAGCATATTAGCTCGACTGTTTAGAAGATTGACGTTTTGAAAATTTATTTCTCTCATGTCGTTTTGTTTATGATAAACGGAAATTAGTTCGATAAACGTAAAATATATGACAACTTTGATTAATTGTGCTAAAATTTATTCCTGTTTGATTTTGCTGTCATATGTACTTCTTTCTTTGTGAGTATAGAAATTCATCATTTTCCCTTCATAAACTGTATCTAACACTCAGAAGTTTAGAAAAATTTGTTATTCTTTTTGAACGTTTATTTCTACTCGACTATTATTAATATATAATGCGCAGTCATGCGACAAACGCAGTGACATTTTTTTTTTCCATTTTTTAGTCTCTAATTAATGTGTAGATACTTATAATATTCTTGGTAAAGCATGTCTTCTAGATAATGATTTCAATTAATTTTGTGTTTTATTATAAGGAAGCACGAGAATTTATACTGATCAATAATTCATTTAGTAAAGCGCTCTATTTTTTATTCTGTTTATTGATGATATGGACGTGATCATAAGTTCACTATTCCTTATTCCGTCTACTAGACTTGTTGTCGGGATCATCAAGTTCCTTGTGCTACTTCCCTACATTACAGGACGGCAATTATCTTATGGCTCTCCACTGAACAACGCAAAATCGCTGGAATCTAGGGAAGTCACAGGATTACTTGTCATTCGCAATTTGTCAACTGAAATATATCTGCCATATGACTTAATGTGCAATGTAAAGCAATGTTTACTATAAAGAATGCAGTAAATTAACAAATGCATATAATCGCAAATCGATCTTCACAGTAGCTTTTTCTTTTAATAAGAGATTTCTGATATAATATAAAATATAAAATAACAGTTTTAGATAAAAATTATATGATTCTAATAATGTGTTTCTATTTAAATAATGTTTGCATATTGAGCACAAAATTTGTAACATTTAATTAGTTTAGAATTAATTTACTTTGGAAAGACAAAATAAAACCAAAAAAAATAAAAATTTTCTAAAATTTTCACGATATCTAATTCTATATTATGTTAAGTAGAAAATCTATACATCAAACAAATTAATGAAATTAATATATATTGATATACCATTGATATAATATCTGTGTAATGTAATTTACTTTTCTATAAATAAGAATGTGTTTGTTATAAAATTATTTTTTATTTCTCACTTGTTTTGGTTTATTAACCAATCGTTATCATTAATATTAATGCACTTACGATTAGACAGTTAAAAATATATCATTGTGCCTGTTATCAAGAATATAAAATGCGTTTCTATAAAAAGATTTTTTGCAGCCAGATTAACATCTACGCATTTAACAATGGAAGATTTGAATCCATCACATAAAAATAAACTAAAAAACAATTATAAATTCTTCTTTATTATTACAAACACTTGATAAATGTGTCACTATATTACTTCAGAAAAAAGAATAATCTTTTTCATTATTTATAAAACTTTGATTTTTTAATGTATATGTATTGTAGTAGATCCCGATCTTCCAATGTATTATTTTAGACATAATGCGTTATAACAGAAGCGCATATAACACATATATATTTTCTATAATTAATACACATCTTTCGTTTCTTCTAAAGCAATGTATATAAGAAAATAATATCACGCAGTTGTCATGTTATCGCGTTACGCTGTAACATAATAAAATTGAATTTTGCTATTTCAGACTAAAACTTCTTCCGTAAGAGATTGACTAGAAGAACACTGACAACCATGCAGATCACACTCGAAGCATACAAGGATGCACTGCTAACTGCATATCCATCCAGACGATGATATACATTTCTATCGCCGAGCTGCTGTACGGGTCTGTAATTGGACTTTAGAGTGCCATTGTTGCTGTGTACTTGTTTAAACACATTCACCTGTTCGTACGGAATTATACATTAGATATTAAAACAATTATTATGCAATTTTAATAAGAGATTTTTCAAATAAAAAAAATAATTATCTTATATGACAAGTCCTTTAAAAAAAATTACATATCTGCTAAAATAAATATTTTGCATATTTTTCTGCTCACCTGTGTCTCTGATATTGGCACTTTTTCAGTCATAACAAACCATGTTACGGATTCCTGGCATCCCGGAGTAGTCAAGGATCCCTCATAATGATAATACGTCGTATGATCCCTCGGTAGCAGCAATAAAGGTATCAGTTTGCTTCTTATCGGTGCCATGCTCTTTCCCACCCAATGTGATATTATTTTCGTCGTCTCCAAAATTGGGGTTAAATCCGGATTGTCATAACTATCGAACTATAACGAAATAAAATTTATATTATAATAAAATTTATATTAAAATTTATATTTATATTTATATTAAAATTTATATTTGTATTATATTATAACGAATTAACATGATTAACGTCGCGTATATATTTTTAAAAAATTATTCATATAAAGAAGATACGAGCAAAGTGTAACAAATATATTATTCTTACTTCAAACAGAACCGCGACAACGGCAATCCCGTTCTTATGCTGCGTGGCTTCGCTAAAATTCGCGTACTGATTATCGTAATGCACAAAATGCAACTCTAATGGATCACGAACATCGTCCACGGTATGTTCGGCGCTCCAGTGAAAATGCATTTGCTCCAAAACGTATACGGATGGCAAGTTTGCACCGCTTAGATGGATCGGTACACCATCCAATTTAATTTGTACTGTAAAAAATTTGATATCTTCTTGTTAATATACAATTAACGAATATTCAATCATATTAAATCGTTAAGTTAAGATCCTTTTCTTATATTCATTATGATATAAATAAATTTATTTTGTTAAGAATAATTATAAAAAATATTAATTTCTCCTTTTTTATTATTTTTAATTAAACTTATCTCAAAGACATTAATTTCTACCTGTAATATTTAATATTTTCTTTATTTAAACAATGCAAATATAAATCATCAATCGAAACAAAAAAATAATGTTAAATATATATAATATAGAGAAAAACTTTAAATATCGAACACACAAATAAATGAAAAGAAATAATTTCATATACTGATCAATAATAATATACTGTGATATTGGATAGTCAGAAAAAATAGCTGAAAATATATAAGTATATAAATATAAAAATATTAAAATGTAATATATTGCAATTTATTTATTTATTTACTGCTATGTCCAGTGTTACTCAGCGTGGCAGAAAATGCAAAATCATATCGATCGAATTTGAGAGCACCAAGATCAGTTCTTATGGCATCATCTGTCACAATATTGATCGGTGACTGTTCTTTTCCTGTCCTGCATATTCCCGGCCAGCTCTTTGGTGCTATGAAATTATTTATAAAAATCAGTAACATACACATAATAAATATAAATTTAAAGTGTAAGACAGGCAATAAGAGCCAAATCGCAGATGACAGTGCGTTATCCCAACGAAACTAAATTTTTTCGTTAGAATTAAATACCTGTGCACAAGACACCAAATTTTACTTGGTCACGGCCAAGATTTAAAATTGGAATAATCTCTACAAGAAAAAATCTTGGCCGTGACCAAGTAAAATTTGGTGCCTTGTGCACAGGTATTTAATTCTAACGAAAAAATTTAGTTTAAAATAAAGCAGTTTTTAATAGAGAAAAGACATTAAAAAAAGACATTAAAATTAGAATAAAAGTTACGAGAATATAGTCTGCAATAAGCATATATTAAACTAAGTCAATTAAAACGGCAAAAATCTTTTAATTGACATTTAGTATATGCTTTTCGCAAGAAAAGTAGTTACGCAAACGCATGCGATAAGCATACTAGACGTAAATTAAAAGATTTTTGAGATTGTTTTAGATAGATTAAAGCGTTAAGTTAAACGATAATATTAACGATAGTTTAGTTTTTAAGTGCTCGCATCAAGTAAATAAACTAGTTTGTAGTTTTGCGAAAGACTAAAATTGTTTTAGACCTTCGCACTAATTTGTGCAATAATTTACACGCACACATACACATAAGAGCACTGTTACTTTGTTCATTTACAATGAAGCATATAAGCACAAGTATAACTATCACAAATAAGAGCTCAAATAAGAGATGTATAATAATGAATTATATAATAACAAATGTTTATATAAATATATTAGTGATTAAATATAATTACACTGACGATTAATTTATATTAAATATTATGTACATACTACAGAAATTTAAAATATTAAAGTATTTTTAATATAATAGAAATACATATAGAAATATATTAAACTATAAGTATAAAATTTTTTAGAAAACTTATATAAATTTTTTGGATCTTCTTTACTCATTGATTTTAATTTTTTTTACTTCATCAAAGGAAATTTAATACTAACTGTGCGTTGTCTAAATATCTTCAACTGACACTCAAGGTTGTCGTTACTAAGTCGCTAATAGCCTATACATGTAAATTTCACATAAGCTAAATAAGAATAACGTGCTTATCGCGTTTGTATATTTTTTGCAAATAAAATTTTTTGAACATCGAAATTTAAAACGATGATTCTCTATTTTGTGATCGATACCATTTGTGATAAATATGATTGAGAAACAGATAATCGAAGATATCGATTGATAAAATGGATACGAATCGATGCTTATGTTTCTTTGTGTGCATATTCTTACAAAATATATTGTTGTAAAAGACAAAAGCATTGTCAATGTTTCCGATAAATCGTTTCTATGCGAAATAAAAAGATAATGACTAAATATAAATTGTTTCTTTAACTCGAAAGCTGGCTCAATGTCGGCAATGATTGATGTTATCTCTATTCAGAAAACTAATGCTCTTGTGTATAGAATTAACTTTAAAAAAGAATTGCATTTGACTTCAATTTTAAACGCTAATTATTAAAAAATTGACATCGATCGTAAATCATAAGTACGTATAAATGTGCAAAAAGTTTTATTATGTATAATTATTGTAATTACCATGTTTGCCCGAATATCCCCATTCATTGCCAGATGCTGTCACTACCTGTAAACCTGAAACAAAGTTGACAATGTTTATATTTTTTGTACTTAAGAATTTATTTTTAATTCTTATAGATGCTCTAGAAAAAAAACTGTTGTAATACAAATAATGCAATTACAGCGGTCCGTAACAAGCAAGTGAAATAGTGAGACGCGAATTAACCTTGCCCATAAATTGTCCCAACACATACATCATACATAGATAATAATTCTTACATTGAACTGTTAATTTCAAACAGTATTCTGAGAAATAACACAATTCTCATATTTCAAAACAACATCTCTTGAATGACATTTTAGTTAACAATTTTTCTAATTAGTTTATTCAGATTTTTTAAATACATGAAACATATATTTATAAATATTATTTAAATTAAAGAAAATAAAAATACTTTTCAGAGATATTAATCATAACAATATTAATATAAAAATAATAGTTGTACTTGTTGTTAAAACTAATTCTCTGTCTCTCTCTCTCTCTCTCTCTCTCTCTCTATATATATATATATATATATATATATATATATATTATGTATGTCAAATAATATTACGCACACAGCATGCACATGAAAATTATACATTCTCGCAGTTAACAATACATTTCGTTGAGATAATTTTTTCAATTTCAATCCGGTTACTTATAGTTCTAGCTTTAGATGCAAATGCGAATGAGAATTCGAAATAAAATTTTACGAAGAACGTGTGCGCTACAATAATCGCGAGCTAAAGCCGGCGCTGCGACTTCGTCCTCATATGGTACCAATTTGTCGAGTTTGCACGAACTGCTAATAAAATAATTATTTCCACACTCGCGCCACGCGAACGGCTCGCCATATCGCGAGCGTGTTCCTTCCATTGGCTCGATAAGTAATTGAACACGCGCAACAGGAAACAGAATTGACCCCATTGACCGTTCAGGGCCACGTCGAATTCGCACTTGCACCTAATCGTAATCGAAAAAGAAGAGGTCGGGCAAATCCGTGCAAAAGTGATCGTATTCGTGCAAAAGCCATTCTCGTGATGGTCAATTGAATCACAATCGGTGAATAAACGCCGGCGCTTTCTAGATCACCGCACCGGCCGCAACAACGGCCGAATCATTCAAACGACCCGCAGATTTTAATGAGCATAATGCATACTTCCGCTGCGGGAATAGCGCGCAAAATCGGCCAATCGGTATACGAGTTTCGTGCATAGTTTAGGGATGATCAAGATGATTCGATACTATATATACATATACACATATCGCGCGATATATTTCGTTTTATCTTTGATTATAAATATTTTATTTGTAAAAATTAATAGCATTATATATAATTATCTTGTACAATTCTTCGTGAATTCAAGATATTGGACATATAAAACTCAAAAATATTGACCCTTATATTCGTATTATTAAAAATATGTTCTGGTGATGTTATCAAATCTGGAAACAAAAAGTTTAACTTTAACAGATCTATTTTTTATAAGCATATAATTAATTGTTAAATGGTATTTATTGAGATTATCTCTCAAATATATATATATATATATATATATATATATATGACAATATTTTTCTATACATAAATTATTTAGGAAAATTTATAAATATTATTGAATATAAGATTTTACTAACTTAAAATGTCGAACTGAGTAGAAAAAAATAAAATGAGTGTTTTGTATAGCTTGCGAACAAATATGCGAAACAGTAGTAACGTTGTTAATTTAAATAGATAAACGCATGCTTATAACATAGCAGAGAGATACGAAATTATCTTAAAATTATTTCACTTAAAACATTTAGCATGATAATAAGTATGAAGAGCATTTAAGATAAATAATCGCAAGACAGCTATATCAGTTAATTGGATGAGCTGATAGAAGAAGAAGAAAACGCATTACTGACATATATTATGTTTGACATTGAACTGTATGCAAAATTTTGCAAAAAATCCCAATAATAAATCATACATTGAATGTTCTAAATGCACATTAATATTTTATAGATGTATAATTAAAAGTAGATTAATATGAATTAATCTGAGAAAAATACGAGAAAAAGTGAGTGACTTTTTTTTCAAATTAACTCCTTCATGCATACTGAAATATTTTTTGGATAAATTTTTTGATCAATTGACAGGCAAAATGACAGAAGAATAATCACAGCGGAAATGAGCTATATCGAGCAAATGCAGCGATAGGGCTCTTACCGAAAAAGACAAGGTAGAAGAGATGCATCGTGGAGAGAGCTACCTGAAACGATCGCGATGGATGACACACGAGCGCGATGACGACAAGAGTACGACTGATGAACGCGACGTAAATCTAACTAGATAACCCCGAGATTACACGAGGAGAGCTATCGCATGAGATTTAGCATGTAGCAGCGGCATGTGGCAGGGCATTGCAGTTACAGCATATGACGCGGACCAACCGGTCATCTGATTATCAGTGTATCCTATTAGGCAAACGGCATTCTTGAATACGTCAAAATTGAACTGATTTATGCTGATAATGCATTATTCATTTATCTATACACTAATTGTTGCGAATCGAACAAATGGTGATGCAACAAATCATTTGTTCAATCTACATTTTTTTTTAATTTTTACAATTAAATTAATGAAAGAGATGAAAAATATTTCAACTATTCGATTATTGCACCAAGCTCACGAATCTGTTCTGTTTAATAAAATCAAGTCTGCATTTTTTTTTTATTTTTTTTTTTTTCTATAAAAGCTGCTTTTGTATTAAATGGAAAAATGTAACAAAATGCGAATCTTAGAATTTAGTTATATTTGCTCGTAAGAAATGAGTAAGATATTATATTAATGTGGTAGCACTCTCTCTCTACCGCGTCATTATACACAATTACAATAATATCATTCGAACACAATTAAATTCACAAAACGTGGTCTAATCTCAAATTTAGACGGGTAAGTTTATGCATTTATTTGTGTATAAGCATTTTTACAAGTCAAATTTATATAATAGAAAAAAATTTATATTAAAACTATCTTGAAAGAGTATAACGTATCTTTGTTATTCCAAAAATATTTTGGAAGAAAAAAGATGTACCTTTAAGCGAGCAAATTTGTATAAAAATGTGATTATATATTCTAAAGCTTAAAATAAATTTTATGTAACACGAGAAGAATGATAAACAAGAAATTCTTTACTGGCTGACATATATGTATATATGTATATTACACGTATATTACATGTAGATATTCTTGAATACGTTTTTTTAATTTAACTCAAAGAAACAGAATAAAAACAGATTGAACTTTTCATCTCTCTTTATAACAGATATTTTAAATAAATATGATTTTATATAAAAAATTTATAGTAAAAATAATGCTTAAATATTTCTAAATAAAATGTTATCGTACTTTGTGTAAATACTTGATTATTATTTTTAATAAATAAAATGTTTCTTACTTTTAAATTTAAAATATTACATATTAAATATAATAAATATAAAATATTACACAATTATTGGCCGTGTCCAAGTAAAATTTGGTGCCTTGTGCACCGGTATTTAATTCTAACGGAAAATTATTTAGTTTCGTTAGGATAACGCATTGTCATCCGCGATTTGGCTCTTGTTGCCCGTCTTATACGTTAAATTTATATTAAAATATTACAATATATATGTATCTACTTTTACATATCGTTAACTATTCTTTTTATATCTCTCGAAAATAATTTGGTTTTTTCCATTTATTCGTTTGTATTTTCCTTTTTCTTTGCGTTTATCAAAATAATGCACACATATCAATTTATACTCAGAAATCAAATTAATTTCCTAGTATCTCTTTGAAGTAATAACTCAGAAAAAAACGCGACATACTTTTGAAACGTTGCAAAATCTACCTGTGTAAAGCAACCATTAGCATATGTAACCATTAGTGTAATGTAACCATTAGCAAGTGACCTAAACTCATTTTTACACGTGAAGTGCTCGCTATTTTACCAAAAAGCAGCTTCGACAATAATCTTCGTCCGACTAATCTACTGGTAAATTCCTCGTCAAGAAGTTGACGAGGCAACCCTCCTTTAGATTTATACTAAACTCTCGCGAAACTGCATTCTCGATCAGTCGATTTGAAAAACTGCGTGTCTCGAATTGATTGATCAATTGCGCACAAGTTTGAGCGAATGCTAAAATATGCGGCGCGTATCTCCATAAAATATAACTTGTGTATCTTTAGAATACAAATGCATGGGATTATTTACCACGGCGTAAACATTAAACTGCGTTTCAGTAAAATTACGTATGTATATATATATATATATATATATATATATATATATATATATACCTATTGAAGTTAAAGTAAGCATTCTAAACTATGCGAGAGAAAATTACATTTATTTATGCATATGTATTTCTGTGCGTGGTTTTGCAAAAAATAAATAATTTAACAAAGGAGGACTCTTCCTCTTGCATGATGATGCGGTTTATTATATCACACGTTCCTCTCTTTATCTCCCCTTCAAGTTCTGATATACTCGTAATGCTATCTGGAATGCTGATGACGGTGACACATCACACCGTTAAAGCTGTTTTTATACTTGATATTGTTTCAATCATCCTTTTCATTAGATTTTATATAATTGCATAATAAAAATGCGCACAATTTACGATAAGAAGAAGAAACCGTTTATCACACATTTTATAATATTATAAGTATCTATATATAGTAATAATAATACAGATCTGTGTTATTACACAGATGGAAAAATTATTATTCTTTATGCTAAGTTTCCTTTCAAGATAAAAGAAATGATTTTATTGGCTTCGAGTGTGTTCTTGGTAAGCTTTATTTGGCAGCAGTCACTGTTGTATATATGTAACTATTTCAAGTCTACTCACACGCATTTCGGCAAATTTAGTGAAGATTGTTCGTGGAGGTGTCGATAAAAATAGTAAACTCGACAGTGTATCAGTTTAGATGTAATCAAAGTTAAGAACAAGATTATTTTTTTTCCAAATGTATTGCTGTCATAGAAAGAAAGAAAGAAAGAAAGAAAAAGAACTTTCAAATAAATCGCCAAATAAATTAATAAATCAATTTATCATTAATAACATAAACATATATGTGATTTAAACATATTTTGATATTATATGTGTAAAATTTTTTCTAAATCTTCAGAAAGAGAAAAAGAGAAAGAAGTACAGTCAACATTTATAGAATTTCTAAAAATTATATTTGGTATATTTGTCTTAAACTTTGAGAACAAATTTTTAGTAGATCTATTATATTTATTAATTCGTCATGTACATATACACATATATATATATATATATATATATATAGAATTTATAAAGAATTAATTCATAAATTTTTACAAGTTTAGAAATTGAATCAATCTTAATCGTTTTATTTAGCGATAAAAGAATTGAATCTACTTAAATGAACGCTCTCGGCTACTCCTAATAGAAGTTCACAATAGTAAACGATTCGCGTAGCAACATGGTATGGACCACATGACTCGACAAAAGAAGAGAGAAAGAGAGAAGAAGACAGCAAAACCCCGAAAGAAGAAACGAGAAACGAGCGGCAGGGCGTTCCGACCAGAAATAGAAAAGCGGTACGAAGAGAGTCGCTGAATATCAACGCCAAGGTGGCGTTCCATGTGAGTCTTATTGCCGAATCGGCCCGGGTCTGGTAGTTCGTGTCCAAACATGCCGCGCGGAGTGATACCAATGAGATCCTCTCTGAGGAGTCGAGATTCATCCTCGACATCAACCGGGGTCGATCCTCGAGAACGCGTCAAGGACTGCTGCCGAAAACTGGTGGCCTTCATGTGCACCCAAGTCGGTGTAGGCGGACTAGTAGTGGGCTATGCTATAGTGGGCGCCTTCGGCTTCATGATGATCGAAACCACCCAGATAGATCAGCCGGAGACGACGTGCGTGCGCGAGTTCATTCGCCGAGAGTACGCTGACGAATTGTGGTTCAGCACTGCCAGCAATCAGTCGGTGAACGTGTTCAACCGTACTGCTTTCTACGTAGTGTCCAACAGTATTCTGCTCCGCTATCAGAAGAATATCACCGACGGGGTGCACCAAAGGTGAATTGCGACGGTCTCACGCCCACCGATATCTGGTCGTTTCCGGCCGCGTTGATGTTCTGCCTGTCGGTGTTCACCATGATCGGCTACGGCAGTCTGGTGCCCAAAACTCAGTGGGGCAAAGGCGCCACCGTGGTATACGCGGTACTCGGTATCCCGCTCTACGTGCTCTACTTCCTAAACATGGGCAGCGTGCTCGCGCAGACCTTTAGATGGCTCTACACGCGATTGCACGAATGCACGGGCCAGCGAAAACCTGGACAGAGGATCACCGTGCCCTCGACCGCCTGTCTCTGGGTGATAAGTGGCTACATCGTCGCCGGCTCGATCATGTTCGCCGAATGGGAGGGATGGGACTATCTGGACAGCGCTTACTTCTGCGTCACGTCGCTCTGCAAAATCGGTATGGGTGATCTGGTGCCAGGTTGGAGCCAGGATGATTCCAAGCAGAGCAGCCAGACGAAACTCATCATCAATTTCGTGTACTTGCTGCTGGGCATGGGCCTGATAGCCATGTGCTACAACCTGATGAAGGAAGATGTGTATGTGAAGGCTCGAGAGCTCAAGCAACAGCTCAATCAAGCGATGGACGCGATTCATTATAAAATGGTCACGTGTTGCAAGTCGGATCCTGTGGATTGAACAATTTTAAAAGGATTGCGAGGATTATTGAAGCTAAATACCAAAATGTATGTGTAAGAAATCATAAAAGAGCGCTAATGAAGCAGAAACTGATAAAACTTATTTGTTGAAACTTTGTCGAAGAAAAAACTATGAGCAGCGAGAAATGTTGTGAAAAGCTATATAAACATGAAAACAACAATATTGTATCAGAAGTGAAATTGCGCTATATCATTACATAAATGTAAACCATAAGTGTTATCTCATAAGTGCAGATTAATCAAACAGTATTAAAAAAATATTCACTGATGATGATGATGATGATGATACACATGTCCGTAGTCTGTGAGCTTATAGTCTAAATTGCGTTTCTTATTATATATTCAATATTATATATATTTTTTTAATATATGTGAATATAAAAATAAAAATATAAAAATGATATATATAAAGATTATATACTTTAACAATAAGTGATAATTATTAATTAATGTAATTATAGTTTTTTCTTATATTATTTATCGCGAATTTAAAGTCGACAGAAATTTAGGAAGCTAATAAACATTGCAAATATACATTAATTATGATATACATTGATCTATCTAAACATGTCAATCACAAAATAATCGTGCGATTATATAATAAAAAAATTATCCTTCCAAGAACATATTTATTCTGTTAATGATTGTGATAATATATCTAACTAAATTAATAAATGCAATATTTTATTAAGAAATGATACATTAATGTAAATAAAAATTTATTATGAGCATCGTTATATAATCCACAATTCACAACATGATTTGTACATATAACGGCCAAAAAAATAAAAGTACTACATTAATAAAAAAATTAAAAACTTCCATTATTGAAATATGTGTTTTGATTTTTATAATAATTTGAACAGAAAAATATAATTTTTTAAATGACAAAAATATTGTATTTTATTAATACGTGACTATAATAGTATCCCATTAAAATATTGTTATACATCCGAATTATATTTTCTCTTTCTATGTATATCTGTTTTTTTAATAGAATTGGACGCGAAACTTTTGGTTCAACGTACTATTTGAATGTACTCTCTCTATTTCTCTCTTATATTATAGATATCTACATGCATTTGCCTTGAAATAATCCATCACAGAAATAACTTAACCCAAAACTGTCATGATTCTCATGAGTCATTTCATTGCATCCGTCGCACGGATAGTTAACTACCTGCAGTGATATAGATAGAAACTGAAAATGTCATATACAATCTCTGTAGTCAAATAATTTCTCGATGTGTTCCTTTTGTCATATAAATCTTAAAATCTATGCATAATTGATATACATACATATATATTATTAATTAAATTGTCTCCTTGTGTCACAAAAAGATATAATCATTATATAACATTCAGAAAACAACGTTTTCATTTAAATTTCATTTGTATAAAATGAAAGCATATCAATCATAGCAATAAAATGTTTTTTTATTGAAAAGATAAATTACGAAAATTGGATTTTCCTGTAAAACCCAGGAATGTTATTCTTATTTTTATTTTGTGCTCAAATAGAAGCAACAAAATTTCAGATTTGTTTCGTGAACGAAAGATTAAATATGTACAATTTAAAGAAATTGCAAAACGTTTTTATTAATGGTTCTTTAAAATAAAATCAATAGAGTGACATTTATATATTTCAATAGATTAAATAAAACTTATTAAATAAAATTCCATTTTATCTCGACGCGCAAATCATCCGGAATAATGGTATACTTTTCTGTCATTAAGTTCCTGCGTGGGTCTGTAATTAAATGGCAGCTTTCCATGGTCGCCCCGAAAGCGTTTGAATACATTCACCTATACGTGTGTGCAAATATATTAGAATAATTAATATATATTATTCTAACAAGATATATTTTAAAAAGTTTTTTTTTTATTTTATTATAAATTTTTTTTTAAATTAAAAATTTTAAACGTCCATAAAACTAATCGGTATGTACATAATTTTATATTTAAATTACCTGCGATTTTGAGACAGTAAGTTTTTCCGTCAGAACAAACCACGTTACGGATTCCTGACATGCCGGTGTAGTCAATGATCCCTGATAATGATAATATGTATGATCCTCTGGTAAAAACGACGAAGGTATCACTTCCATTTTTATCTTTGTGCTCTTTCCAACTTTCTTTAACACTTTTTTTACCGCTTTCACAATCGGCTTCAGTTGCGGATTATCGTATTTGCTCGGCTATAACATAATATGACAATCAACGTCGTGTTCAAAAAAGATGATATATATATATATATATATATATATATATATATATATATATAATGACTTCTACCTCAAATAAAACTGAGATAACAGCAACTCCGTTCTCGTGTTGAACGGCTTCGCTGAAATTCGCGTATTGATTATCATAATGCACTAAATGCAACTCCAAAGGGTCACGTAAACTGTCCACAGTATGCTCAGCATTCCAATGAAGATGCAGTTGCTCCAAAACATATGTAGATTGCAAATTTCCACCGCTCAGAACCGGCGGAACACCGTCCAATCTAATATCCACTATGAAGAGAAATTTCTTAAAAACTATATAATTACATTGTGCTGATACGAGCAGTAATAAGCGAATGAATTTCATTACATTTCTATTATGACAAGAATGGAATTATTTGATGAAAAAAGATTATAATAAAAAATATAAATTTTTCTTGTGTTACATTTAAACTTCAAATAAACATTATTTTCGTATAATATTCTATATTTTTTATTCTACTATCACTATTATTATTAATTAATAATTAATAAAACTAAAATTATTAAAACGTAATACATTGTAAATTATTTATTTACCAGAATGTCCATCGTTTTTCATTGTAGCGGGAAACGCTAAATTGTATTGATCGAACTTGAGAGCACCGAGATCTGATTTTACAACATCTTTTGTTACAATGTTGATCGGCGATTGTTTTTTTCCTGTTGTGCAAATTCCTGGCCAGTTCTCTGGTCCTGTGGAATTATTTAAAAATAATTAATTAGTATATTTAATTTATTATAAATATAATTAGTATATTTAAAAATAATAAATTTAATTTATTATCATATATTATAAAATATTTAATATTTTATTATTTTCACTATAAATACATCTACAGTTATTATCAATTAATAAACTGTATAAATTAACATTTATATTCTTCATATATTGCAAAAGACAAAAATATTATCTTATTATTATATATTATCAACATATGTTTTTATAATAAAGATTTTCTGGTAAAATAAAAACACAATATGTATGAGCCAATATTTTTATATAAAATAAGACAGAAAATTTGATTTAATTAAGATACATATATCTATATCTACGATGTCAATGTATAAATTACACTTGCGTTAGAGTGCAAATTCTAAATTGTATGTAATATAAAACTTTTATCTTAATTATCGTAATTACCATTTTTGCCCTCATATCCCCATTCGGATGCTACTGTTGTTTGTAAACCTAAAACAAAATACGAAATACACTGTTATTCTGTATAATTATATAATATAAATCGAGATTTATTAAAATGTTTTTATATCTTATATAAGTATACGTGCTGATGAATCATAATTATGGATATCCTGTTTAAAAAAAAAACCATATTTTATTTTATTGAAAAGAACATAAAATATTTTACCTGTGCAAAGCAATGTCAGTGTAACCAGCAAATGACCTAAGTCCATTTTCACGCGTGATATACTCATAATTTTACCGAGACGCAACTTTAATGACAATCGCACTGCGACTGAGCCACAAATTTTTGGCAAGCTGATATAGCCAATCCCCACGTAAAGCCATACCAAACTCTACAAAATCGCACTTTTGTTTAATTAATTTGGAAACCACATGTTGGAAACCAAATCGATTAATTAATCGTAAACCCACTCAAGTGAGTTTGTAAAGTCAAACATTCCTCTCAGAGAGAAATAAAAATAGAAGTCGAAAAATTCGATCAAAGCAATGTCGTTTGCAAAGTTGTGTTTCTGCAAGTGACACATAACGAAACTTTTTATAATTCTGATCGGAAACTTTAATTTCCGATTAATAACGAGTTTCGAAATCGGTTTACCATCTCATTGTATGGCAAAATAAACAATTTTTTTCATAAACTTTTTTGAATTTTAATTTAAAATATTAATTTATATTAATTATTAATTTATAAATAAATATTTTTACTGATATACTAAATGTAAGTAAATTAAGTTAATAAATTGTACTGTAATTTATAAGACTACTTTTTATAACGTCCTTGAAAAATTAACTCTGTAATGAAAATAAATGATTTGTAAATATTATACATCATTATAATAATTGATGATTAATATGATTATAATTTCTTCCATTTAGCAAATTTAAAGATTATAAGAATTTATGGAACCAATAAAAACAGATGAGGCCGAATAGTAGATATGTATTTATGCAAATATATGTATATTGATCCTCCAAGACCATATGTCTACTATGAAATTATACCTCCGATTACTAAGAATATAATCACTCTGCTAATTTATTGATTATGATAATGTCTAGTTCAGTATACTAATAGGTCTACAATATCTCGAAAAACAACGCACTTATGAAGAGAATTTATTACGTACATTATTAAACGTTTCACAAAATAATTTACAAATAAATAATATTGCTATTCATCGATAAAAAAAGCAAAATTTACATTATTAAAATTCATTCTTTTATATAATTATACATTGCGTTTTGGCAAAAATATAAATTTCATAACAATAAAAATATTGCAAATGTTATTGCATATATTTATATCAATAAAAATATTGAATTCATAATCATTCTATATATGTATAATATTTTTTAATATTTTTAAATACACTTTTTTACTTTTTTTATGTTTTATTCATTAGCGACAATAATTAGTTTTTTCCTAATTTTTAATTAAAGTCGAATACTATACGTTATGTGTTTCTTCTATATTTTTTATTATCTTCTGGAGGACTATTTTATTAATGTTTCCAAAAATTTTTAAATGCATTCTTTTATTTTTTTAATAAGTTATATCATTATTGGTGGTAATAAATTTTATTATTGTAGATTCGAGTATATCGTTACATTATGTTACGTGTTTTTAATAATTTTTATTTTCGAACGGATGATCATTTTGTTAATATTCTCATATTTTTAACAAGCTGTTACATTTTTTAAAAAGTTTTAGTCAGTGTTTAATTCTGTCGTCTGTCTAACTCTCTATTTATGTCGTTCATAAATGTTCACGTTTATTCATGTGGCTGAATTAGCTGTTCATCGCGTCGCATAAATTATATATTAATGGACAAAATACATATACAGAAATGCTAAGTAAAATAATCTCACTTTCTCAATATAAAAATTTTAAAATATTAAAATATAATATTTTAAAATATTCAAATATTATATTTTAAAATATTAAAATATAATAATAATGTAAAACAATTAATTTACAACAAGCATTATTTTATTTGTAATTTGTGCAATTTACATTATTTTTGCAACAATACAAACTTAAACAATCAGATACATATTAAAGCAATATTTTTATGCAGCACAATTTTTTCAACAAAAACATAAAAATATGACTTTTCTTATTTTTGTATTTTTTTAAATAAGAAAATGTTTTAAATTATTATCGTAGTTGGTAACGTGCAACTATTATTTCTGACAAGTCTGTGTTAAAGTAAAACTGAGGCAGGATTTTCTATTTTATCTTCATTCAGTAAGATCAGGCAACATGTTGTAATAACACAAACCCTATTTATTGGTTGTAGTTAAATGATGCAGTGTATAAATTCTCTCAGTTTAAGGTACTATTTTTTATCCATATGATATTATTTAGAGTTAATATAAATATTATATTAGAGATAAAAAAGGGTAAAATATTTCTATTAAAAATAAAAAAATTAGTTAAAAGACATATAATATACTTAAAAAATCTTACAATTATAATTTTATAAACATTTAGAATCATTTTCAATACAGACTATAGTAAAATTATATGCGTCCTTTTTATGCAATTAAAACAACAAATAAGTAATATTGCAAATAAAAATCTTTTCTGTTAAATATATTCTTTACTTTAATAAAACAATTTATAAATGTTATTTTTAAAAAATGAGATAATGAGTTGCATGAAAATATTTCAATCGCCTTGGAAACGGAATATTTATAATTTATAAATCTTAACAAAAACGCTGTGCATATAAGACTGTACAAATGGCAAGAAACAGAATTTTTAACAGGTTTTCAGTTGTGCAAAATTTAAATTCTTAATACGCTAATTATAGTTTAACATCTAATAAAATTTTAAACAAGCTGGATAAGCGCTAATACATGATTTAAGTACAAATACATATTTGCATTAACATTGCATTTTGATCAATACTGTATTTACATTATCATTGCATTTCGATTAAATACCAATCAACTTAACTATAAATAATTATATAACAATTATTAAATATATATTACAATTAATTAATTACTCTAAAGTTTTCTAATTATATTTTATTATTAGTTATAAAATTAATTAATTACATTTGTTCTTATATTATTCTTATCAATGTATTAAAATTATTATAACAAATTAATTTTTTCTCCTATTACAACTCAATTTAGTTAGAAATTATAATAAATTATTATTTTTCTAATTGTATTAAAAATTATAGAATAATAAAATAAATAAAACATAAATTACAATAGAAAGGCTTTCTCATATACATTAATGATAAAATTACAAATATTTGCGAATGCATCTCACATACAAGAAACAAAGAGTATTGGCAGCGATCAAATCACGTTTCAAATCTTGGCGGAAAATCCACGTGAGAATTACCTCGATGACAGGTTGGCACTGTCGTCGAATTGTGGAAATTTGCAACGAGGTCCTTGCAGACGTCCGAGCTTACTGACGCAATTTGTCGAGTTGTTCTCACTTGGCATCTGAATGCAAGCTGACTGCAGTTCTCCAAGATTGCCGAATCACACACTGCAGAGTCCTTGTTTCCTTTATATATTCTTCATTGCATACACAGAGACTATGTACTCATACAGATTCATGAATACGTGCAAAAAGCTTAAGCAAGTAATTTTAGCAAAATGAAGAACAATCAGAAATCAGTTATTAAAAATTGCTGTAAAACAAACTTACTCTTATAGTGATTCCTCTTCAAATCAATCTTTAATAAAAAATTATACTATTATTTAACAACATTTTGTGCAATTTATATATACTTTACTGTATATATTTTTTTGTGTATATTTTTCAAATTAAATTTTAAATCACAATTAAATATATATGTATATATATTTTTTAAATAACAAATATATATTATTTTATATTTATAATAAAATTATTAATTTATATTTGCATCATATGATAATGCTTGGAAGGAAATGACTGTAGATTGATGTACCATAATTAATATTGTACTCTTTAATTAACTGTATTATTTCTTAATTATAGATTACTGTTACATCAAGACAGAACGCTCTTTAACTAAAAATAGAAAAATTTCCGGTTGAATATTAATAATCCCTGAGAGTTTTTAATCGAATTTAATCGAGCATTTTTCTTGTGATTTTATGATAAACTAAATGCAAAATAAATTTAATTAAACCGATGATCGTTGACTATTTAATTGTATCTTTTTTAATTCTATTTATTGTAGTAAAATACAAGGGCTTCAATCGATATTCATTGAGAAAAATATTTTCGATTCCCTAGAAGAACGTGATCTCGAGAGCGGAATTAATTAAAAATTCCGGTACGTGAGGATCAAGGACGAGAGAATAAGTTGAATGTCACTAACCGGCATCACAATGGTGGAAAAAATATGTTTGCGCTATACTGTAAAATATTTGTAAGGACACATATTGATGGAGATATTTTCATCTTTACCGAAGTTTGAAGGCGCGCAGACACCTGAATCAACACACCAAGTGCAGTGCGCTTTCCCGCGGAAGCACCGTTTTGCAAATCCGCTGTTGATTCTGACAGATTTGCGCCCGAAAGTGCCTGTCAAACAAAGCTTGAACTTTCAGGGAAGATTCTATTTCGGCATGGCGAAACAAAGTCAACTTTCTTCGGTACAATAATAACAAGGCAATCTTATACCAAGCTCGCACCGCGCGTTTAAATCCTAACTATAAAATTTGCAAAGATAATTGTTTAAAGCTCTAATTAATAAGAAAAGAATTAATATTCAACTTGTGTATAAATTTAAATTAAATTAAATTAAATTAAATTTTTAATTTTTAACTAATTTGTGTGACAAATTACTGATAGTTCATTAATTCATTAATATCTTTTTCTTCATTCTTTCTCTCGTAAAATAACGAAAACTTTTGTGTCATTCTTTCAGGCTCAGCAGTATATCACGGATTATGATCTCGTTGCTTTCGTAATAAAAGGAATACTCGTCTCTGTGGCCTCGGAGAGATCCGGATCACAGTTTGGAAATTCTATAGCGATAACTCGATTTAAACTGAGAGTCAACTCCTGGCTGCTGAAACATCGCGAACTGCGTCGGACTTGAAATTAATAGTAACTTCTGTGCTCGCGAGCGTATCTGCTTTGACTACATATACGAAGCAGAATCTCGGCGGTAATACGAAGGTAATTTCCATCCAGGACACTTTGACTCCAATCAAGTTTCAGCGCTGAGAGCGAGCTAGCTTTAAATTTCCCCATCTTAGATATCTAACTTTTATCAGGTCACAAGAGAAGTTTCTTCAAAAGTATTTAATCATTGTATCATCTTACATGCTGTTC